TAAATCTTTCAGTTTGATTAAAAAAGATAGGTATATATACAGGCTGAGTCCCTAAGCACGCATAATTATTGAAAATAGAAAAAAGGTATAGGCCAGAGTTGTATGGTTCCTCGGGTGGCATACACAAAAATTATTAACTATACAGGTGTTCTGTTTTTGAAAGCATAACCCACAATTTAGTATTTTTAAATGGAATACCTTAGAGTTTTTCCATATTCTCATTAACTTCTTGCAAGGTTTTATAACCATAATTTATTTTTTCAGTTCCGATGCGACGTTGTCACTTTATTCTAATTTTCTTGAAAACTTTGAACAATGCAAGAATTTGTAAAAAAAATCACAATAGAGTTATATTTAAAATCTGTCTTACAACATTTGTGGAAAGATAAGGTACGTAAGTTACTATGGCATAAATAAAAGTAGGTTTAATGTAGTGTTTATAAACAAATTTTTTTCTTTGAAAAAACTGAAATATCGATATTTAAAAACTGTAATATTTTAAAATTTCTTTATGAACACTGTACTTCTATTTATCCTTCTAAAAAATATTACAACACACATACTAATGATAACCCTATTGCGATTTTTTTTGTGGATCTAAGTCCAGCAAATTCCGCTTCTTTTAAAAATGATAAAATCAGATTTTTCTCTGTTTGCGGGAACAAATGTCCTCTCAGCAATAAGAGCACGCTTACTAACTTCAAGTATTTAGGTTTATACATCGGAAAAATGTTACGTAGAAATTTGTTTGATTTGAATAAGCTTGTCGCCTCAAAACAGAGGACTAAAATTATTAATTAAGTCACAATCAAACAAAATGTTCTGAATAAGTATTATTAGATAATTCTTATTTTATAATTATTACATAAAAACGTGTGTATTCTTATTTTTTGAGAAAATGGCCCGACTCGTTCTTAATTTGATCATTAAAAAATTAGAGAGTGATTAATTTTATGACATTTACTTTATTTAATAAAAAAAAAAATCTGCCGTCCGCGAGTGTCCATTGGTCGATTCCTGGGTCGTAAGGCAAAAATATTACCAGCGCGCCAAGCTTGCTGTAGCTCGATTGCGTGTTATGTTAACAAAGAACAAGGCGGATTAATCAAAATAAATAAATATAATAATAATAAACAAAATCAAGATAGATTCGTAAACCACAAATACAGGAGTATATTATTTCATACAATTTTCATAATGTTAATTATGCAATCTAATGAGTGGAATTTCAAAAATGAACTATGGTTATATATAGCCTAAGAACAGGCCAATTAAGATACGCAAAAATATACATTGTGTATGACTCCTCAAAAACGGAAAACTCTGTATAATTGAAAATTGGTTTACTGTATGCTACTCAAGGAACCGTAAAACTTGTTTTTAACGTTTTTTCTCTACCTCTAATAACTAATTGCCAATGATACATCAAAGAACACTCGCTACGTGACTCCCTATATATAATGTTGTTTCGAAGTAAACCCGTACGCCGCCGCGGTACGACGCCTATGGTTTTCTAGTATATACAGCAATGATCGGTAACCCATCATCGGTGACGGCGGTGTTCAAATAGAGAAAAGCCTGGAAGCGGTATGCCGGAAGTCTCGATGGCGGACTCCAGAACAACTTTAAAAGCGGCGACCGCGACTTTCCAGAATAACGCATGGCGGTTTAAATAGGGACCACCGTCGGAAACAGGCATTCAGTCAATGAACGAATTAGAGACTAGTCAAATACATTCCAATCGATTAATGAACATGCAGTCGTGTAAATTTGTACTACTGAGAAATAAATTATTGAGTTTTACCCAGGCCGACTTTAATTACCGATCGTCGCAACAATATTTTATGACAAAAAATATGGAACTGGTTCAAATCTCGAAAATCAGTTATTGCAGTTATGTAAAATTTTGCATTTTTCAGACTTTCACATTTAAGTACCTTGACTATCTAGACTAGAATCGTTGAACAGATGCAATAATCGAAGCGCATGGAGAATGAATCTAGCGTTGCCATTGATTAGCCAACACGTGTCTTGAAACCGCAGGAGATTCCGTTGGACTTTCCATACGCCTGATACGCTGCTGGGCGATTTAGTATTTATAGTTTCTGAGATTCAATGTCAGTGTGATAAAAAAAACATTGAAAGGTGTATTTTCTGCTAAATTCAGTGAAGTGCCCGTGCAGTTCCTAAGCTGTCAAATTTAGTCTACGAACACAAAAAATGGTTAACTCCACTTTTAATTAATTAAAACCAAGTGGTCAACAACAAATAAATTTTTTTTTTATAACATATGCTCAAAGGACTGGCAATTTACTTTGTCACAATAAGTTTTCTGAGTGGTGTTACATTGTAACAAAAATAATGTAAAATTTGCTTTCATAACTGTATAACGAAAGGTGTTTAAAAATTAGTCTGATTTTTACTCATAAATATTTACGGAAAAAATTCACCCTGTATGTATGTCTCTCGTATAAAACCAATAGATTATGTTTTAGGGGGCGATGAAAATACTTTCTAAACTCTATTAATTATTTTTTCTATGAATATATGTAAACGATGACTTTCACATGTCAACTATTTATTTGGATTACAATTGGACCACGTTAACCAAAAACGTACTAAGCGACAAAATTGCAATTCGAGTAATACTAGAGTAAACTTTCATTAAAAACTAAAAATTTGTATTAATGTCGGAATAAAATTTTTGCCTTAAGAATACATGACTTTATGAATGTAGTCTATTTTGTTAATGGCATCCCAGTCCTTTACAGTTTTAAGGAAGCATTTTGGCGCTTAGTTCTTTTTTGAGAAAACCATAATATTAAATTTCTTATTCCGTAAAAAGGCACTACAAAAAGGAACATATGCCATGAAACAAAAACAAAAATGATTAAGTTAAATTTGTTTCCCCTAATTCGAAATCGATATCATCTGAAAAACCCTCCATATCAAATTCACAGTTTATGCCCCGTAAGTTTTTGTAAAAGAGTTTTGCATCCTCGGGAATAAAAGGACATCATATTTTTAAATCTGCCAACTTTTTACGCGATATTGCTTTTCCATTGGGCCATAATGTAGACAATTTTCCAAAATTTTTAGAAGTCTTTTCCTTTTATGCATCAAAACTTCATTGTAGATTTTCCTGATTATTTGTCATAAAAATAGAAAACGGTTTATCTTTAGTAAGTTTAATCACTCTTGTTTTCAAGCGTCTAATTTTTTGTTCATGTATGCCTTCTATTTGTGACACTAGACTCTTTCTTCATAAACTAAACAATAAGTGGATTTTTCTTTCTACAATTTACATAATATTGGCGTAATCTTGTGGCGTATACATATACCTACTTAATGACTCCAAAATCTTTGTCATTTGGAAAAAAACTATTTTCCGAAACAAAAAATTTCAAATAAATCGTTTGTTAAGTAGAATGTTGCTATAAAATTGATTTTAGCGTGAATACAGTTTTTATATTACTATTTTGACGCCCACAAGAGTCAGACCACAGAGTCAGTTCTGTTATATCCTTTTTGGTAAAATTTTCAGTAGGTATTAAGCTCTTAAGACAAGATCCCACCTTTTGTGCGCCACGACCTATTTTTTTTTTCCAAATAAAATAGTGTACTTTCCTTGTTTTACTGCAGTAAATACCCTCATTATAAAGCCAAAATTGACGGTTATAAAACACTAAGTTTGTAGTTTTTGATTAAAACATAATCCCAGATTTATTAAAGGCGCATAGTTCTACCTCAAATTTTGGTATAAAAATAATTAAGACAAATAAAGGATTTTTACAAATTAGTTTTTGACATTAAATTCTGACTGTTACGATGTTTAACTCATTTTTTGCGATTTGGCGCTTAGTACGTTTTTGGTTAACATCGTTCAATTCCACGCATTTAAAATTTTAATTTTGCAGCTAGCGTATGAATAGTTTCCAAGTTACAAATTCGTTTTGCGGATAAAGTTTAAGATAGCTCTTTTTCTCTGCTAAGAAAGAAAACAGTTTTTCCTGAAAGTATGACAGTTCGATTCCAGAGACCGAAAAAACTACTTGGGACCATAATGAAGTGTCGCTTTTCCTACGGTTTTACACTTCCGGAATATCTACGTTTGTTTAAAGTAGAGTTCGCCAAATAGTGAACATTGAGTTTAATTGCTTAGTGGGAACCTCTAAGAATATGCTGCACGGGATTATAATATAATATAAAGGATCAAAGTTTTGCGAATCGGACATCCTTGACCATTATAACTGTAAATGTGTTCATGCACATCTGATTCATAGAACCTTTGTTCCTTTCAAACAAGCAATCGGAGAGGAGGTGAGCAGGACTGTAGGTTATCATTACCACAGTCCGGAACGGTTTCTTGGTAGCTTCCAATAAACGAAAACTAAAGGTTCACTATCTCTCTGGACTCTAGTTTAGTCGAAATTATTGATTATTTTTATTTATGTTTTATACTTTAGTTAACACAGACACTTACTGTGATACTAATAAGAAATTTACGTTGAGTGTTTATCTTGACGTCTTTGTCTATTTACCACAAAATGTTATTAATTTGGATCAAACATGCGATTTTCGTAGCAGCAAAACCAATCCTGTTGGCAAGGGTTTTTTCTATCCTTTTCTTCTTTAAGACGAAAGTAGCAGTTCAACTAGTTTTTTTTTCGCCCTTTGGAATCGAATTTTCATACTTTCGGAAAAAATGAGTTACAACTCGTGAGGTTTACTTGCTGGAGATGGAAATCAATTCTTTCATCATTAAAAAACAAAAGGAAAGCTTAATTTTGACAACGCATTTTTTTTTTTGTTTAATTGTTTTTGGTTCCATTGGTGTAATTATATTTGTTGCTAAAATCATCACAGAACACACTTATATTTGTATCTATAAAAAATATACCCAGGTAAAATTGACTTCCTTGATAACCCTCGTACTATTTGGCAAACGCATCATTTAACAAATAGTAAGAAAAAGATCCGTAACAAGAAAAAACTCTTACTTTTCCCTTCATATTGTCCATGACGTTGAGCGAGCCACTCACGTACTGATCCGTCTGATTCTGCAGCCTGTTGAGCGTATCCGTGCTGGCGCTCATCTGCTGGTGCATGATCCCGATCTGCCTCCAAACCTGGTCGATCTCCTGGCCAATCTTCGCCGTCAGATTGGCCAACGCGCCGGTCTCTTCGTCCAACACCGACATCTCGAAGGTGTCGAAGCGCTCGCTGATGGCCGCGTTCACGTCCTTCGAGCTCGCCTTGATCAACTGTTGCATCTCGGCGATGATCTGGTGCACGCCGTACTCGACGCGGCGCTTCGTGTCCAACACGCTATCGGCCGTTTGCACCATCACCTGCTCCACCTTGCCCAGGTTCTCGATTTCGGCGCGGATGTTTTGCGAGCTGGCGGCGAACTTCTGCGTGAGGGAGTCGACATTGGCGGCGATCGCGTCGATGGATTTCGTGACGTTGCGGTGTTTGGCGGCGATGTCGTCGCTGATCTGGCTGAGGCTCTGGGGGTCTTTGAGGGTTTGGACGGAGCCGAGCGTGGCGTTTTGGAGGGTCTCGAGGTCGGTTTTGTCGGGAAGACGGTTCACTTTGGTGGTGATGGCTTTCACGTCGGAGAGGACCTGTTCGACGTTGTTCTTCTGGATTTCGAGCGCTGAAAATAGAGGTTTTTAAGCAGGGGTGCTTAATGCTTGTGGTGAATGTTTTTTGGCAAATGAGTGCTAAGTTAATTGCAGTTTTACTGATCTGTTGGAAACAATAAATCTATAAGGGAGAGTAGATGATGTTTTGTTGTTAATTATTTTTAATCAAAAAGTGGTTAAACTAACCATTTTAGGAAATATGCAGATACCTACGTTACTGTGACGCTCAGTATTATGATTTTGTCTAAAACTGTGAATATCGTCGCTATAATTGCAAAAATTATTTAATTAATATTTCTAATTTATTTATGACTAACTCTTTATGTAGCTTTCAGCTGCTGTAGACGATTTTCATCCTCCATGTTTATTTTAAACTGTTCAATCGCTGATGCTCGCTGCGAACAATGGCCAGTGTTATTCCTTACACTTGACAAATTTAAATAGCTATTGTTGCGGCACAATAAAACTTTTGGTAAGCAAGGAGAAATAAGCAGTCCGCTAGTTTAAATGGTAGAATACTCGCCCAGCACGTCTCAACGCATTTAACCCAACATTGGTGACCACCGACAGGCAATAGGCGATATGCGCACAACATCCTTCGGCCGCCACCCTGGACTCGCTGTGTTTCGCGGTCAGCATCTCCCTCATCTCCTTCGTACTCCAGCACGACCGTGGAGTCGCTGGAGGCGCGGGAGAATACTGTGGCGACACAATAATAACGTTGGTTTAGCTAGGAAAGATCAGCAGTCCGCATAGTTTAGGTGGTAGAATACACGCCCGGCAAGCGGAAACACTTGGGTTCATATCCTACTGCCGCTGAGTTTTTTTCCGGTACGCAATTTGTGGAGGTCCAGATATAAAATATCTTATTTTAATTTAAGATATTCTTCAGTGGTACTAAATACGTAGTAGTTTCTGTTTTCGACTATATAATTTTATACCACTTATTGCATACCCAAATACAAAATTAAGAGTAAACAAATTTTGTCTTTTTCGATTTATGTTTACACTTCTAATCATACAAGTAATATTTTTAAGCCGCAATTTATTAAATGGAAATCTTTCAGTAAATAACACTGATATGGGATTTGGTGGTGTTTCAAATGAATTGAAATTTTTGCGACTGTCAACTAATCTTCATCACCATAAATAGGACAGTTTTCTGGTTTTTCGTCAGGTATGTTAGAAAACTATTTCAATAGCTCAGTTCTCTTCAAATAAAATACATATAAGTATGTTTAGAATTCATAATACTGAACAATTTTTTGTTTTAGGATGTCGAAAACATGGCATTTTTAGGTTTTTTACTTCTCGAAAGTAAGCTAAGGACGTTTTGTAATAGGGTCCCTCTGACAAATGGCTACTTCCCTATCTATACCGTGCATCATTCCCACCAACATTTTTTTTGTTGTGATCGCTATTTCAATGTTATAAAGTAACATAGTCCTGTACTTGTAGTTTATGAATTCGCCTTGAGTTTTTACCCTGGGCTTCTAAATTTCCTCAAAAAAAAAATCTAAATTATATAAGAACCTTTTATACTAGTATAAGCGTAAAGGGAACCACGTCTCCATAGCGTCACGGCTGACTTGTAATGCAAAGGTTGTGTGTTCGGTGGGGCTTTTTTCTCTTAAAATGTGACTGGTATTATCTACATCTCTTTTAACGATCGAATCGAGAAGGTACGTCCCATTGTTTAATTATTAGTATTACACTGCACGTGTCGTAATTGACATACATGTACTTCATGAAATGTTGATCGGAACATTTTCAAGTGGGAAAACTCACTAGTCACATAAGCATAGCTTTATTCTTTATCAATGCATTCATATTTTTGAAGCAGTTTTTAATCGAGTGCCCCTTTCTCAACGTGACGCGAACTACACCCCGCGCCAGACCAAATATAAACAAGTTAACAGAGCGTGTTTTCGTAACATAATGCGGTCGATTCAAAAGCTGCGGTGGAGTATGGGTGATTAAAGTATGACACACTGAATTCAGAAAAACAACCTCTAAAAGAACGTTTGAAGTATAGTCCAATAAATCCTGCTTCTTTAGAAAAATATAAAATTTAATTTTGCGGTATTTGGAATATATTTAAAGCAAATAACCAAAGGGAAAACATGCATTCTCAGTTTCTTAGTAAACTTAACTTTGACTGTTTATGATTACACTTCAAAATATTTAGACTGTTAGCACGTTAGATTACATGCGTCAATGGTGGAATTTGAGTCAAAAGAAAACGAAATTTGATTTATTTTGTCTCCTCAGCGCAGGGGAAAGGCCTTATAAATTAATTAAGCACTGTTTTTTTTTTAAACTATGTTTAGCGTAAACACTCATAAAATTGAAGAAAATGTATTCGACAAAATTGTGAGATGACGTAATTGATTGGGGGAGAGGGCATAAACAGACACATTTTAATTAAAGATTTACCATGCTTCCAATAACCTTAAAATGTTAAAGATTCCACAGTGTTCGGTTTTGCAAATTCAAAGTTTTTCAATTTTGATTTTCCCCAAAAATCTGGATGCTTGGTGTAGACAGTCAAAACGGATATATAGGTCACACATACAAGAGTATATTATTCCAGAAAAAGTAACAATTTTTATTCAGCAAAATTGTAAAATGACGTTTTAAAGGGGGGGGGGGTGGAGATGAGCGCCAAAAATGTTGTTTATCAAGGGGATTTAAAAAGTCAACACGGATACATAGACCACAAGTCAAGAGAAACTTATTTGATAAAATTTAAATGACATTTTTACTAAATTTTGGAAATGACGTCATCTCATTGTTAGTAGGGATGATTAGACAAATTTTGGTTAGTGTTTTACCATCTACACGATATTCCTTACACATATATAATTTATGTAAATTTGGCAACAATCGATCTGGTAGTTTCGAAGATTATCTGTCTAATAAAAATTGACGACAGATAGATCGACGGAAATGGGAAACCTCTTTTTTCGTACTCCAAGGGTGATTAAACGTCGTGAAAATATAAAAGTAGCCAGTCGCCCGATGGATTCGATTACAATACTTCCTTAGCTGACTATTGGTAAGTAAAAATACATAGGGTTTCAAAACATATTTATAAGATATCAAAAAATATATAAGGTGTCATTTAATTTCTTACACTGTTGCTTACACTGGTATTGCCTATATATTTTTAATATAGAGGTTGCACAAATAAAAGTTCGCAAAATCAAATTTTATAATTTTTCAAAGAAGCGGCATTTGTTGAACTGTACTTCAGGGACGAGGGAAGTTCTGTCTTAATAACCTTGGACCAATTTTTATTTCAATTTTTAGTGACTTCTTTATGTACTTAAATAAACAGCCTTTTTGGATTTTATCAAGTAATTGGAATTGAATAGGGTCCAGCACTTTTTTTCTTCCCAATCACCTTGGTCCAGAAGTAAAAACCCAGTTTTTTTGGTTTTTTAGGTAATTTAAGCGATTTTTCATTTGCTCAATCTCTGGTGTTACGGTTTTGTAACACATTTTTGGGGTGTCAAATAGTATATTATTATCCCAGGTTGCAGAGCCAAGCATTTTAGACCGAGCGCAAATTAGAACCCGAGACGCGCAGCGTCGAGGGCTCTGAAGCGCGAGAAAAATTTTATAGAAATTTGTACGGTGATTTTTAGTGATTTTCTTCTTGTGTCCAATTTTTGGTGGTGTGTTAGAGATCTTTCCGGATTTGGCAAAAAATTTGGGAAAATAGAGATTTTTGATATATTTCTTACGTTATTTTGGTACTTTTGAATCACTTTTTCTTGTGCGCCCCTCTGGTTTAGAAGTAACATATTGATATTTACTGTCTACTAAGTATTTTTCTTAATTCATCGAATTCATATTTTATGTACGCATTTGTGTATGTTATATTAAAAGTTTTACCACACCATTTTAGTTTAGCATGGTGCGGTATGTTGAAAACACATCCACTCTCACAAATCTTTTGTGTTTCCCTGAGCATGTATCTGATTTCATTTACACAGAATTTAAAATAGCATTTCATCAATTTAATATCAATTTCAAAATCTTTAATTTCATTACATCTTTTCAGCTGAACAATTTTTGTTTTAACGCCTCCATCGAAATATGCTACAAGGATCCATCCTGGGGCCCCTACTTTTTCTGTTGCATGTTAACGATATAGCTAATATTATTGTCTTTTCAAAATAGTATATTATTAGCCAAGGTTGCAAGGCCAAGCATTCTAGACCGAGCGCAAATTAGAACCCGAGACGCGCAGCGTCGAGGGCTCTGAAGCGCGAGGTCTAGAAGTGGCTTTGCAACCGTGGTTAATATACTACTTTTTTCACTAGCAGAAACCATAAGACAATAAACTGAAAAAATAAACGTTCAATTTTTTGACGCAACATGATTTTGTTTTGATTTCTAATCAAACTTAATCTAAATCTTCAACACAAAGAAAACCGTTTATACTTGTCGCTGAGTTAATCATTTTATCTTCTACCGTCTACCAACTACCATGCGTATACTCAAGTAATGTTTGTAGCACACATTTGCTCATTTTTTAAGAAATAATCACATCAAACATTGCGTACATAACCTCAATTTTTCTTTTTGAACCGGTGGTCGCAAAAGTTGAATTTGCTACCTCTAAATGAGTCGACATTTGCATGCTTCATGGCTACTAGTGAAAAAACTACTTTTTGCCCAATATTCGTAACTTGTTTTGTCAACTAAGTTAGCCACTTGTGCTAACGTAACTCACCACTTTGCGGCACCGATCTGCGTCAACAGTTATCGTGCATTTTCAAGTTCAAAATTGCCATTACTGCAGTGAGAACGCAATAACGATACCTTAGCTGTCTGCTGTCTTGGTAATCTTCTCTTCATGTTGACCATCACTTTCACTAGAAAGTTCGAATGAATTAAGGGCAGTACCCGCTAAAATACAAACTGCAGAGGAAAATTAATTGTGGACGCAACCAGCACGTATATTTGCGTTGAAATTGGCCCCAAAGTCTCTCGAAGAGAGTAGAAACCAACCTGAATTTATTAGTTGCTTGGAGCCAAAAATTGATTAATTTTAAACATGAAATAGCTTTAGCTATTCGAGAAAATCAGACCAACATAGGTAGTATACAATTATTCAGTCGATGGAACTACTAAAATATAAAGTAACCTCATTTGACATACACTTGAACTTTTATGACTTAAGCGGCTTATAAGTCAAACTGGCTATTGTATTACTTAACTCAATTCACAGCTACATTATGCCAACAGTGGACAGTAATAATCTTGCGGTTCGGGTCCACAAAGCTTACAGTAACCAGTTTGACTTATAAGGGTGCTTTGGCTTAAGCCGCTTAAGTCATAAAAGTTTTAACAGGTGTATGTCAAATGAGGTTTGTGTAATATGTTTGAGTCTATTTATAGCAACTGTTGTGAGTCTTCTAACATTAATGCTTTCATGTATATTATTTTCTGTATGTGGCAATGGTCTTATTTATATATCATACATAGTACTGGAATGAGATCAAAGGAGTCTTTTAGATTTTAACGTATGTCATGGGTTCTTTTATTCGGTGTGATTACTAACCAAACAGACTTGATGAGAGAAACTGTATTTTTAGTTTCTAGATTAAGTGCTAGAAATATGTTATGTTGTCGTACCTTACTAATTAGGTCGCCAATAGTGCTTAAAGTGCAACTTGAACTGAGTCAGTAATCATTCATTACGATTTACTTAAATTTATTTCAAAACATATGATTTATTGACTAGCACACTTGGTTAGTTCTTTTTGTTATGTATTCGTAATCAGTTAATTTTTTTTTTAATTTTTAGTATCTACTTTTAATTATAACTGACTGCTATGTTCTGTAGAAATAAATCTATTATTATTAAAGTACTATAAGGACGGAAGGTGACCTATTTTTTACGCAGTTTTAAATAATCTACATACAACTAGACAGAAGGAGAGTTAGTCTTAAAATGCTTGCCGTACTAATTAAAGTACCATGTCCATCATCAGTACAGTGATAAATCCATGTTCGTTGCATCCGTTAAGTAAAGTTTATTATATCTCTTGAGGGAGTTTATTAGCAAATGCATTATAAACCAACAAATAATTGTCACATTGACACCACTATCAAAACAAACAAGCGAATATATTTTTGCATTATCCTTGTTTGTTAGTAAGTCGACAAATTTTTTCAGTCGATTAAAAGAATTTTGTTCAACAATTTCGTTTCGATGGACTGCTTGATAGAAAAAAATGCGTTTGAAAACTTTTACATGCAATGTGAAGGCTTCCATCACAGCATTCTTACAATACCCACCTGAAAATGCCCCGTCATCTCGGCGAACCAAATAATTGGTGATTAGTTAACATGTACCTACTGCAATGTAGAGAGTACTCATTTAACCACATACCTTGGAGGAAGCTCGGATGCCAGTCCTTTTGATCTTTGTAGTTGTCGGGAATTACTGGCGGTATTCTGTTATTATATTCGGCGAGTTTGTTTTCGTATTTCTCTAACAGTTGTTCGCTTGAGCTTAACTGACGTTTGACTTTGTCGAGATTTTCGGATGATTTATTATTGAGTTCGCGTATGTTGTTATTTTCATCTTTCATGTGGTTGAGATCTTGTTCCATGGACTTTATCGTTTCTGTTACTTTCTCGATTTTCGAAGCAAGGTCTTTTTGGACTTTTTCCAAATCTTCTTTTGTGATGGACGGTGGTGGCGGTGGTGGTGTGGCAGGTTTTAAATCAGAAAGCTGGAAAAATATTAGGAGTACTTAGTAGGTTTGTCATGATAAACCCATAGCCAGCTTTAGTCAGTGAATGTGATTTACATTTTAAAGAACATAAACCAGTTGGAAGAGTATAAATAGTTTTAAATACTTATGTAGTGTTCGGTGTTCGTGTTACTACTTAAGCGAGTCTAAATTTCACGATATATAGTTGTAATTTCAATTATAAACTATGCTTACTATTTTCACCCAAATTTGGAAAGCAATACAACTTTTTAATTTTCCGTCGTTATGGTTGTTACAGGAAAACATAAATATTATTATCAATTTTATGGTAATTTTCTAACATGTTGCAATATCATTAATATCACAAGAAAAAGACCAATTTGAAGGCTAAATTGTACAAAGTTATCTATATACATATTTTATTAATTTGTATTAATTTTAATCATTTTAGCTATGAAAATAGCAGGCAGAATTTAATACCGGAGTCTACAATTTTCTAAAAAATCGGAACGCGAAAAATATCGGAGGCTAATTTGTCTAAATTTATAAAATCCGATTTGTGTATGTATTACAAATTGTAGTAAATGAGCAGCATTTTAAATTTTTCTTCTTTTTAATAATGGAATCAGTTTATCCATAAGATCACTACCGGCCTGGAACAATGGACGTAAGGTGGTTTTTAAAATTAAAATTTTAATAGTTCCCATCATTGGATATTGGATGATTTAAATTTGGATAGAATTATTTAAATTTATCGATATACTGTTTGTTCCAGTTAAAATTATACAAAGATATTGAAATTCTGTAAACGCCATTGTTTTTAGCTTGAAGGGGGAAGGTTTAATTTTGTACATCGCAAATATAACGCAAACATGAGGTCGGCATCATGCCACAAATCTATATATTTTTTTGGAGTGTATACTTTTTCACGGATTTTGATAGACCATTACATAGTAATTGTATAATATAATTTATGAAAACAAAAAAATTAAAGTTGATTGAAATAAAACACTTACACTATATTTTATTTTTTTAACAACTGGCAATGAAAATAAATATGCAAATAGTGTATGTCATAGTATAGTAATAGCAATTTAACGGTTTATGAAAATCCATTATACTGGGTGTCTGGAAATGACGGATTAACTTTCCGTTACGCTCTTAACAATCAACTGGTGAGTCTGGGAAAAATAGTACGTAAAAAATGTTTTTTCTCACATTTTGGTGAAGTTATAATGATTTTAAAATTAGTTCTTTTACTACATTTAACAATTAAACAACACATTCATTACACAATAACTAGTAATAAAACTTTTAGTTAATATTTCTCTCGCACATGACTATATTTAATTACCATCTCAGTTACAATGTACAAAAATATGGTTGTATTGTTTTTGTAATAATTTGATAAAATTCTATTTGACAACAATGTTTGCTTGATATAAACCGAAGGTACAAATCAGCAAAACTCGAGTAAGAAGTTAAAAATCTTTGACGTATCAAAAATTGTCAAAATTTTCAAAACCCTACGTTTAAAATGTTCGCAGTTAATTTTAGGTCCCCTGGTGTTTTATTTTCGAATACATTTAAAGGAACCTGGATGAACTTGAAAAAGTCTTGAGTGCCGCAGTGTTTTTTTTTTTTTAATTTGGGAGGCTCTTAGATATCCATGGTGTATTATTTTGGGACCCCTTGGAGATTTTTTTTGTAAATTATTTAAAACAATTTTGGGGGACTTTGGTGTTCTATGGAAAATTCTGACCTGACCTGTTTTTGAGTTTATTTTGGGACCCCGTTATTTTTTTGAAAAATTTAAAACAATCTTGAGGTTCTAGGTATTCCTGTTTGGAAAGAATTTGAAAGTGCTTTAGAGCCTCTAGTGTCTTTTCTGATAATAATTTAATTACATTTCTTAGAGGATACGTCTTTTGCCAAAATCGGTCTTATTTTAACAGGTACTAGCCCCACCCACCTCTCTCTTTATCTCTCTCAATCTGACACCTAAGTTGTACGGTATTTTAAGTAGTACGTATACAGGTGTCCACGACTAAACATAGTGTTCTGATTTTGATTTGCAAAGTCAATAATTCTATGTAAATAAGGCAAAACACTTTGAACTTTTTTTACATGTTTGTCAAGAAAAAGCAGGTAACTAAAACCGTTTATGAAAAATTCCAAATCGCCATCTTTAAAAATTATGGAGTTGTATGGAAAATAACTGTCAAATGAAACATCCTGTATATTTGAAAACAATTTTAAATTGTAGCCCTAAATAAATTTATCAAACTTTCTCAAACAATATTTTTAATAATTCACAGGGAATGCATATTCCATATTCTTCCAAAATGGCATTATACAGGATGTCCCATACATTTACCCCCGGTCTACTGTGATTTTCACCGTGGCACCGCCATTTTAATTTCATTATTTGTTGACAAGCCGCGTTAGAATTGTTATAACCTGTACATATTTTGCTTTGCGTTAGAAATATAAAGCAATTTCATTATAAAAGTTGTTCAGAATAAAAAAAAAATTGCTTTGTGAGTTCAAAACTTTATTTTTCAAGTAACAAGTGCAGCTTGAAAACAAATTGTAAATGTTAAATACTTCAGTGCTTACATGTGTTGAATTCACAAAATTTTAGAAAACAATGACATTTTGACGATTGCCAAATTTCAGCTGGAAATAAATTTTGAACTCAGTGTAAAATCGTCATAATTTGAAAAACAACCTCTCTTAATAAAATGTTTTCATATTTTTGAGTCCTAAAGGCGAAATTATGTTCAAATATTTTCAAAAATAAATGTAAAGCATATCTACTTGTTAAAAATATTAAAATGGCTTTCCAACAAAATACGGAATTAAAGGGGTGAATCCACTTGAAGTAAGACACACTGTATTAAAATCAAATAGTAACATTTGTTTATAAAAAGCGGTTTCTTCTTTAATAACTTCTAGTGGAATTTTCCATTAAATTTCATACGGGAACATATTTTTTTTCGTTATGTAGAAGTGGAAAGTGAAAATATATAGTTCAAGAAAATAAAAAAATGCCAGATTTTCCTATTCAGTGATTCTAAGACGCCAGCTGACAAACCTATTTAGAGCCCCCTTGTATTACTAACAGGTTTCACTATCAAAAAATTACAAATGAACTTGGAAGGTTACCAAGCAGAACTAATTTTGAGTTTATAACCACAGTTATTACTCATTAAATAAAAAAAAATGTATGTCGTTAAATGCGGTCATGTTACGATAGTTTACACGTAAACGTGATTGTTGACGGTAACTACTTTTAAAGTTAGCTAAGCCAGTTCTCTACAATTACGTCTTTGTTTAAAACAAAATATCACTGTTCTTGTACTAATGGCTAATTTAATGCTCTCAAGTATCCTGTGGAGTTAATAATGTATCTCGCACATGGTACAAAAAACAGCAATATTTATCCTCTTGTATGTACGGCGGAATTTGCGTGGAATCACTAATGTTATTATTGTAAGTGGCATTCTGATAAGTGAAAATTATACTTAATTACGTAAAATACAAATGCAAAATATGACATTGCAATGGAAATTATATTAGGTATTTTTCGTGATGTGAAGTGATTTTTTTCATTAAAAAAAAATGTTTTTCGTTGTATTTATCTCTTACCCTTTAAACTCTGAATATCTATTTATGAATAATAATAAATAATACCTTTTCGATGATATCGCTTTTCAGTTTATCCACTATAATCGGCAAGTTCTTTTGAATGTCTTCTACAGCATCGAATGTTTTCTGAAGCTGGATTCTTTCCCTTTCATCTTTCTGCATTAAAATCGTCTCAACAGCAGCCAGTCGCTGATCCAAACGATTAATGGTACCCTTGAAAGGTTCCAGAAGCTTGACCCTTTTGTCGATAGAAATCAGGCCCTTTTTCAGCTGTTCCCCCAGTACCCTTTCCCGATACTCATGTCGTTCCAACTTGTCTTCAGTGGCCCGCACAACATTAACCACTTGAAGAATGGCGTCACGGATGTCATCATTCCTACAAAAAAGTGATGTTTATAACATTGACGTTTCACAAGCCATTGGTTGTGAGGAAGGTCCTCTTTATCGCCCCATAAACCCAAATAAATCATGAAAATGCATCTTGTGTGCAGTCCAGATGCGAATGCTCAGGAATATATAAATAAACACAAGTTCGTTTACCCCCTACAGGACAGATTTGTGTCGGGAAGACGTGAGGAGACGTTTTGACAAGGTCTACCTATTGCAAGGCAGAGTTGAATCAAAAGATTTTTCCTTAACCAGTTGACTTGCTGGACAACACATAGGTGAAACCTGTCTCAACTCATAAATCTTGCAAATGGGTCGTTTTTGTTCGGCTTTTGTACATGCGAAGCAGAATTCTTTGGCTCTTTGTCTTTTAACAACAGTGTCCTTAATAACATGTTTGATAATCGTAATCACCTATAAAAAATTATGACTGGTTTAGGTCTAAGTCAATAAACCTGAATACCTGATGATTTTTTTAGTTAAAATTTAAAAAACTGGTATAAACAGATGTTTGTGTGTATAATAATGTGTTCTAAAAAAAGCATAATGTGCATGCTACTTGTGTAAAAAATGTTCACTTCAAATTTACACGTACGCATTCCAAAGGAAAAGTTTATAATTTTGTTCTGCTACATCAAAATTATTATTATTAGCTTGAAGAGTACAGTATAACAAGATAAAAAAATATCGTTCAATAAAAATTTAGGTATTTATTAATGTCTTATAACGATAAATAATTTAAATTTAGGTATGTAATATTTTATATGGTTTGTTTTTAAAACAATGACAGTAAAATAAACGGACTTTTATTGAAAAATTTGAAACCATTGATCCCTTCATACACTTATTTTTCTGGACCTCCTCTGTAACCGATCCCAAAGGGATCAAGACTTCGATGATAAAAAAGTTTTAATATACTCCCAAAATAAAAAAAACTATTCTTTATTATGTTCAGCAGTTAACACCGTCAGTTAATAACTTCTAAACAGACTGCATCTAAAAATAATTATTTATGATCATCGAACACTTCCTAAGATAAAAATATTATTTTTAAAATACATCTAAACACATTATCGAACACATGTTGATTGCGGAAGTTAAAATTTACATTAAATGGAGTATCAGATTTCCGCAATCAAAGTTCTGTTTTATACTTGAAAATACGTATCCTCAAAATATGTCTTCTTTCTAGAATATGGACCTTTAAAATTGCAGTTTAATTTTAGCAACCATTTTCAATTGTTTTTTTTTTCTGACCAAACTGTATAGAGGTAATAATGTTCTAAGACAAATTTTATTTGGTAAAATATTTTTCCTAAATTTACTTTAAAATGGCGTTCGTTAAAAAAATTGCTCTCTTAATTATTTGCCAAATTCTGACTGTTTGTGAAAATTATTGTAAGTTAAAACTGAAGAACTGAAATTTGATTCGTTATTAGTAGAGCTGTGCGGTCCAAATTTAAACGTTGCGAATCGACCCCTACTACGGGAGACCAGTGTCTCGCAGCCGATGTTACGTATCGCGAAGAAATTTACGCGAAAAATAATGTTCACTGAAAATCAGTTGATGATTTTAAAATCCATACCCACGAAATAATAAGAATAATAATTTTAATAATGTTCAAGTGTCGGTCTCGTTGACAATAAAACGATTGATGTGAATTATGTAAAATAATACACAATGAGAAGCGAGAAGCGAGGAAGGCAAGACTGCAGCGGCCTGCACTGCTGGCCTGATGGGACGGATAGTGGGGATAAATAAATTTGAACCGCACAGCTCTAGTTATTAGTAAACAGCAAACAAAAAAATGTATTCATTTTATATGAGAATTCACTTTCGTTCAAGTGATACCCTGTTCTACAAAGATTCGTACGGAAAAAAAAAATATTACGTAGTTTTCGAAATGTTATTTCCTATATCTAAGACTAAAATTGAATGTTTTTACTTTGTCGTAGAATTAAAAAAAGACGCCAACGCATCATTGCATTGCACTGTAGTTGAGTCCATCCGGCGACTAGTTACATTTATGTTTTTTCGACGTTTCATAACCCTAGAGTACACAAAAATATGTCTCCCGTTTCCGTCTATTTGTCTGTCTTATTGTCCTGGTTAGAGTTTTACCATTTACACGATACCTCGACAATGCCTATATATACTCATAAAATTTGATAGCAATCGTTTCGGTAGTTTTGGAGATTATCTTTTTAATAAAAATCGATACAGACGACAGACAGACGGAAACAGGGCACCACTTTTTTTAGTTTAGGGGTCATGAAACGTCGAAAAAAGATTAAAGTTCCATGAGCCCTATCACAATACTCCACTGTAAACATTAATCGCTTTCTTTTTGAATCACTAGTAGATAAGAAATATTTAACGAAGAAGGTAAGAAAGGCGACTTTGACTAGTAATGTAGTGATTTTATTCGTGCAGTCTCATTAGGTTAGCGTCATTTTAGCTAACGTTTAGAAATAAAATTAAAAAAAAGGTGCCATATGATCCAGAAAATCGTCACCTAGTAAACTTTGAAGTTCAACGCAAAAAAATGTTGGCAACACTAACGCGTTCCTTGTTCTTGTTATAGCCCCTCCAACATGTGGTTGTAGTTCTTGTTAATTAGTTTTATATTTAGGATCAAATAATTGTCAAATAAGGTCCAAATACTTAACTGTGGTAATCCCAATATTATTATTTTGAAAATGTATTGCATAGCTTTCTAGACAACTATTTAGCGAGGAACAGTATTGATAATAAAAATACAGTTGCGGGAGACAATTACTTAAAAGCTTTATAGAAAATACGCTGCCCTTCGTCGGCCTAATATGGATAAATCAAGATTTTTTTACTACCCGAGCGTAAGCTAAGGAATTATTGTTATAATAGGGTCCATCCAACCATGAACCCTTCAATATTAAACAATAAATCTGCTGTTTCCGTCTGTCTGTCTGTTGTCTGTCGTCTGTGTCGGTTTTTATTAGGCAGATAATCTCCGAAATTACGGGACCGATTGTTGTCATATTTTATAAGTACGTGTGTGATCATCCCTACCAATAATTTGATGACATTTTTGTTAAGCATAATTCTTTTTCCTTTTTTCTACGATTCAGATCATCTTCAGGCTTACAATACGGTGTCATAAGCCTGAAGATGGCTTCATTCATGGTGCATATAAGCTGAAACATATGTGGCATCAAAAATTAATAAAGGGTTCGTAAAGAAGGAATAGCAACCAGTTTTAACAAAAATTCTCGACCACGAACAGGAAAAATGGTGTATTATGAATCTGTCTTGGGGTTTTCCCCCAGGAGTTCAAATTTATACCTATTAATATAAGCGGAGCTCAAGGAAGGACATTTGATAATAGCGTAATGCTCATAATCTGCGACTTCGGCCTTTTTGTTACTGCTATTATCTATATATTTTTACTTTCTGAGCGTAAGCTAAGGAACTATGGTAATCGAGTCCATCTGACGAATGGCCACTTTTATGTTTTTTCGACGTTTCATGACCCCGAGAGTGCGAAAAAAGTGGTCTCCCGTTTTCGTCTGTCTGTGGGTCTGGCGTCTGCATCCATTTTTATTAGACACTAAATCTCTAAAATTACCAGAGCGATTGTTGTTAAATTTTTTATGCATTTTATGTTTTATTTTTTGTTCATTTTTCGTGTTACGCAAAGGAATTTTGGCGGTTTTGACTTTGTTGAGGGCGTGTGCGGTGTGAAAATTAGTTTAAGTGGTTTATTTTAGTTAGAAATAATGTTGCTATTAAGCTTTATGTATTGGTCTATTATTCAATGTATTGTGCCTTATTTCTTCAGTTCTTTTATTCTAAATTGATATAAAAATATGAATGTTAAGGGAGAAGTAGTTGTTACTTAACGACTTAATAAATATATTTATTCAAGAACTCAAATGTTAATATCTCGTCAAATATTGATTCTTTAAAACTGTCTTTTTCGTTTGAAATACATATTTTGGAATATCTGATAGGCTTTTATCAACATTAATTATTTAAAAATGAAATTCAGTTTTGATTTTTTTCTCATTACGGACCATCTTTACGTTCCAGGCATCACTGCAATTATTGTTATTGTTTTGTGAAACATTTAAATTTCAGAATTGGTTTTAAAACATTCTTGTATTTGGGACATCTTTAACTACAACTAAAAGAAGTTCACTAAATCAGCAAAATGTTTCAGACACTCATTTTAATTGAAAACAGTGGTCTTCAATGTTTGAGCTTATTGGGAAGTGTTTATTGAAATTTCGGTTAAATTAACTTTAGAATGTTCTTAATTTCCCAACGTAGTGTAGCAGGGTTATTTTTATTAAACTTTCATTTCTTATTTTCTGAACATTCTTCAGTTTATGGAGTGAAAATATCGATTTTACGTTTCCGTATATCTGTTTGTTAGCGAATTTTTAGGCAAATATTTTCCAAAACTCTTTTTTTTTTGGTGTAGTTTGAGCGTGTTATACACCAAGAATCGCGGGCTGTAAATGTAAAATTTTGTTTAGAATTTATATTGTGATTTCAAAATTTTTCTGATTAGTATTTTTGAAATCTTGTCTAAAATACTTATTAAACCCGTATAATGTTGAATTGCACCATTATTAAAAATTAGTGTGTATAAAGTTGATGTTAACTTCTATGGTGTTTTTCGTATGGGTTCGTAAATGAAGATGAGGGGATTCGCTAAATTGTAGCACAAGAAGAAGCCTAAAGTTTAGAATTTTGCATTAATTTTAAATTTGGTATTATTTTTTTATATATATATTTTTATCATTTATGAAGGCGACTTTGATAGGTAATTTTGTCTTATTTTTAATCAAATTTTTTTTGACGTCTTTTTGTTGCATATTTTGTTTTGTTTTTTATACACTCTTTTCCATATGTGCGTATGTTCATCCAATTTTTCTTTCCGATTTTTCGTGTAAGAGAAAAGAGGGATGTTTTTTATTTTTTTTTTCTCAAGAATATTTAAATTATAAATTATTAATTGTTTATAAACGATTTAATTTAGTGCTTGATCCTGTTCACAACCTATTTTAACATTGCATTAAACTGTACATATATCAGTTTGGATAGATGCAGTGCAATAATAATAATAACAGTACTGTATTCCCAAAATTTCGAGAAAATCGAAGGAGCAGTTCTTGATTCAATAAATTGCCTCATTTAGTTAAGAATATCGTGCTAACTAAAATTTATCTAATCTCCACCAACAATTAAATGACGTAAACTCTTTTTTTTTGTAGTGACTCATATTTACACTTTAGGGCATAACATGCTCTTATATTACCTTCTATTTGTGGTTTATGAGTCCACAATTACTTTACAAACATTTTTGTGCGTATAGCTGATATTTGAGTTACGTGTGGATTTCTCACAGAACTTGAGCTTTGTTCGCGTTAGTTCGATCCCATCCTTGTCGACATTTTTTTTCTACCACAAAGTTCGGTAGTTTGTAGTTTGTTAAAAGCAGCAGCGAAAAAATAACTCATAAAACAAATGAGTGCTTCTTTATGATACAAAAACTACAAACGAATCATTCAAAGACCCTTTACTTGATTTGGATCTCGCAGTGTCCGAAAATCGATTGGTTTTAACTCCACTTATATCATTCTGAAAAACAATATTTATCTTTTTGCACAATTCCTCTTTTGAAAAATGCATTCGAACGTTTAATCTTCTTTTAGATTAAAACATAACAACCAATGTGAAAAAATAATACAAATTTTAATTAAAACTACAAGTAAAAGCTGTCAGCGGTTGGTACGATACATGTTTGTATGTCTACTATACAATATTGTTATAACGAAAGTGTAAAAAAATGAGGCTAATTTTTATTGTAAATTTTATATTTTTCAGTGACGGTGGTTATTATATAAATATTAATATTATTTAAAATAGTTTTATTGAAGGAAATGTGTTTTTACCAGCACCCGGAAAATCAGATGGACGATAATTTGTTGAATTTTCTTTCGGATGTTCCTATAATGGTTACCTTAATTCTTTACAAATACTAATGAGGAATGATATTTAAAAAATCCGAAATTTTCCGCCGACAAATATTCGATCACTGTTTTCTGCTACAGGTGAATCAATCACTTAAATTTAAATTTTGTTAAAACAGTTTGATTCAACAGACTGAAATTTGAAAATCTCACACATTATTCAGTACGAACCGATGAAGGACCTTATTTCTCAAACCACCCTCGTACATGTGATATTGCATTTCGCTTATGCAGGCAACAAGCTGATAATCCAAACTATCAATGAAGCTGTTGTTACGAGTTCTTGCATGATATTTACAAAATAAATCTGATCCCTCATTCAGGGCCGCTACTGTTTCGCTGTCGTCGTTTTCACTTGCAATATTTTAAGAAAACAAACATTTTCGGATGAAGGCTATTTTTGAAGCAGATACTCACGTGACTGTGCTTCTTCCAACAGCTGCTGCTGGCCCGGAAGTGGTCGAAATTATGACGAGAGTTAGGATGAACAACCGCATCTCCTTGAATCTAGAAATACAAATAAACACTACTAAATCAATTAACGCAAACTATGGCGAGAACAAATTTAATTATTTTGCGATAAGTTTTGTATCGCTGACCCCAGCACTCGACCTCTTTGCCAAGGTTGTTAAAGTTCTTCCTAGAATCAGTTTTTTTCCTTCCTCTTTCGTGAGGGGTGCATCCATTATTAAAAAATTAACAAAGTCGGACATGACAAGCATTAAATAAAGAGGCAGATGGCTGCAATTTATAGTGGCGCCCTGCTCATGTCTATTAATTATGTTGTTTTTTGAATTTATCAAGTGCGTGGCGGCGAGTTAAAGGAAAAATTTTATCGCATTTTTCGAGCCTCAAGAAGTTAATTGAAACGGTGGCGCAATCAACAGCTTGAGTTTATTTACGTTTTGTTTCTGAATGAACAAATAATAAACAAGTACCTAATTTCAAAAATTAAAAAAATACTCACCAACGTATTTGTAAGCAACACTATAATTAATAAATGAACCTAGTTTTTGTATGAACCGCTGTTCACTGGTAGGTTCTTCTGCTGCCTTGTGGAAGGGCAGAAGAAGACTGATGAGTGCAATTATTCAAAAATAGTACAAAACTACCCCTTGCCACCAAAGGTGTCGACATCTAACGTTACTAACTTAATTTATTCCAGGATTTAACAGTTTCCTGTAATAGCGCCCTCTACTGTAACTCAATGTTACTAAACTTATGTAATTAAAATGGTGTATTTGTGACGGCACGTGAGAATTAAATTTAAATAGTTTTTTATACTTTTTCTATTTATCTGAAAGGTATCCACAAGAAATGTTAAAATGTATCGGTTATTGAACGCGAGATTGACGTGTTTGCGAAAATTTTCGGGTGTGTCATCTAGTTTTAGCAGTGAAAATGTGAATTTTAAGGTTAGGGAAGGAGGGTCCCTAAATAAACAATTTAACGGCTACTGCTTAGGTTTGTACGTTTATATCATCAAAATTGGTTTAAAAATCGTGTTTTAGCATGTATTCGAAACCAGTCGGGCATAACTATACCCAACATCACTCAGAAGAAAGGGCGAAAACGATCAAAGTCGAAAAAAACGTACTACGATTTACTAGTTGGTATGTAGTAGTATGTAGAATTACTAAAATTTTCCTTTATCTGTTATACTTTCAGTGACTGACTCTAAAACAAAACAACAGAAAACCAACATTAAGAAATTGACGTGGAATGACCTCAAGCTTTTAGCTACGACCAATTTAAATTTAAGCGAACTTTATAAGTTGAAGGACTTAGCTAAGAATAATGAACATGTTCAGGAACATACTTATAATAATTTGGCTGTGATAGATAGTGTAACTAGTGGGGAAAATGACATTTTGAATGAATCGTCGCAAGACGGCCGCACTGTTACAATTGATGAAATACCCACTCAGATAGAACCTCCCACTGTTACGTTACCGGTGGAGACTACCACTGACTTGCTTGACTCAATCCCTAAAGTAGATTCGCTCCAACCAGAGGTTATCGATGAACTACATGATGGTGAAGCAGAGTTTGAGTTAGAAGTTGCTGAAGGGGTTGGTGGTGAAGTAGGAAGTGATTTAAGCAAACAAGCTCGACATGAAGTTGCAGTTAGAACGTTAGCGTCATATTTAGAAATGTGTACTAATTTAAAAAATCCGTCGCGGGGTTTAAATGCTTTAATGTTTCACCATCAGAGAGCAACAAAGGGAAAGGATTCATCGTTTGCTGTTATTAAGAATGTTAAAGTTTATAACGCGATTTTAAAAGGTTTTGCCGCTAAAGGTGACACTGTTCGACTAGAAGAAGTGATAGCAATGATACGAAAGGAAAACATTAAATTAAATATACAGAGTTACGTTGCAATTCTAGAATGTTATGGAAGGGCGAATTTTCAGGACCATTATCTTAAACAAATTAGGATTTACGCGAATGAAGCAGCCAGTAATGGATATTCTTTCGACAAGATATTAAATAAAGGTACTTTTCTTAACGACGAAAGAGAGATTGTTATAAAAACTATGCAAAAATGTGATCCAAATTATGTTCCTAAATATTACAAGCCCATGGTGCAATATAGAAATGAATTAGTGAATGTTTTGAATGATTCAAGACAGTTCAGACCTCTTGAGTGTAAGCCAACAAGTAAAACTGGCATTTTTACTACTAGCTTTATGCAGTCAACAATAAAAAAACAGTTAGACTTAGAGAAGGACGGTTATCTCACAGTGATGAGTGTTGAAAGTACAGGAAACGTTTCAAACGAAGTAAAAAAATATCGGGAATTAATGACAGAACATGTAAAAAATTGGGAGGAAACAGCCGCTAAAGCGTTCAACCGCGACTTAAGCGCTCTAGCCGCTCAGCGAAGTCCACTCAATTATGAGCCATTCTTGAGGTCTATTCCCGTCAAGGACTTTGTCACTATAATTGTTAGTGAAGCCAAACAACTTGCTGAAGGCTCAGAAACATACAGTCCTACAGTGAATCAGTTGCATAAACAGTTAGGTCATAAAGTATACAGTAGATATAAAATGCTACGCAAACAGAAAACTGGAGTTATGGACAAAGTTGCCGCAATCCATACAAAATACTGTGATAATTACTCAAATCAGCATGAAGAACTCGACGTTGTACCTACTAAAACTCATTATCATAATCCCCGTCAGCAGTGGCAGTGGATTGAGTATAATATGAAGAGTAGTGGGGCTACATTATCAATGGACCATCGTGCGTGGACGCCTACCACGCTTCAAACAATAGGCAAATTCCTCTACAGAATCGTCATGCACGATTTGAAAGTGGACGTGAATGTGATGAAACTCAATAGCAAACATAAAAATTATCATCCGGCTTTCTATACGCTGTTCAGGACGCAGGGTCGCATACTCAAAGAAGAGGTGAAACCGCATCCGGTTTTGTCGCGTTTGATCCGGGCTTCGATGCCGGAGACTTTGACGTTTCCTGCTTATGATCTGCCAATGTTTTGCCCACCAGTTCCGTGGACGTCTGTAGATAATGGGGGGTATTTGGTGGTTCCGTGTGATGTGGTTAGGTTGCCACCACAGGCCTCTTCTCAGAAGAGTAGATTGTATCAGTCTGATCCGCAGCAGTTGTATCCGCCTTTGGATGCTTTAAATCAGTTGGCCGCAGTTCCTTGGAAGGTGAACACACCTATTTTTGATGTGATTTTAGAGGTAGGTGGGATTGATATAAATATTTTTTAATTTTTGTAAAATTTTATATTTTTTTGGTTGATGATTGGTGTGATTTGTGGTCAAATTGTAGCTTGTTAAAAATTAAAAAGTTTGTTAATAGATTTAACACCACAACTTTGATCTTAAAAACTAATAAAAATACGTATTATGTTAAATTAAAAAAAAAAAAACGGATGCTCCTTTTTAAGTTGCTGTAGAATTGGCAGAATCTATGTTGTGAATATCGTGATGGCAAAATACTAACCAAAATTCATCTTATCATACTTCTCAACCCCACCAATAATGTGACGATGCCCCCGCAAAATGTTTCATAGTAAATACTTTTTAAATGCTATAAAATAACATATTCCTGTGTCCGTGAGTTATGAATCCGCCTTGATTTTTATCATAATTACTTTGCCAAACTTTTTGTGAAGTCGTAAGTCGTACCTAGGATTACGCGCCTTACGAAAGAGAAAAAAAAGAGTGCGTCGACCCAGGGACGCACGGTTGGAGTTTTAACTCTGCATTGTCAATTTATATAAATTAAGCACGTATACGCGGCCAAGTCAATAATTTTCTCTTAAAAAATAATAAAAACCAAAAATATATTGCATTTGTATTTTTTGACAAAATGATGATTAATGATGATGATTGTGTTAATTAGAGTAAATATCCATGTATTGTCAATTGTTGTTTATTATAAAATATACTTTTTTTTATTTATTTATCATATAGAAATATAATTAATTATTATAATAATATTGTATAAAAAAAATTAAAGTACAATGTGTAATTTACCAACTAAAGTAACAAGTAAATATTTAGAAATGCTAGAGCAGTATTTATAACTTATTGGATTTAAAATACACTGACCGGCAAAAAAAAAATCGGCCACCCTGAAAAATTTCGTAAAAACAAACTTTAAAAATTATTAATTTAACTAGTCATCGTTATTTTATTAAAGAACTATGCACTATTGAGACATGCTGTATAAATTAGCAAAAAAAGAAGACAAATAAACGCAGAATTAAATTTAATTGCATCACTTTCTGCATTCTGAGGATCGTTGTGGTCTGTGGCAGTGGATGTAGGTTGTGTTTTCTTAGAGTATTCTGGGGGTCCTAAGAAATGGAGTCAGCACCACCAACCACTCTCTGAGGCGTTTCATGTACATACTGTTTGATGGTTTATTTATTTCTCTCTCTTTTTCTATATAGCACGGCGTTACATGCCAACGTTCACACCGGTCTCGGTGATCTCGACACCGACACCGAGCTCTTTGCTCGAACTCGACGTCCTATTCCGGCGCGCATCGTATACGTGTTCTATATTACGACAAAAAAGTAGTTAAAACTCCAATAAAAGTGAAAAAATTAAAAAAAAATGTTTGCATAAAAAGTGGCAATTCTTGAAAATCCTTTGCAAAAAAACATCTGGTTGGGAAAATGAAAAAGAATATATTAAAGACACAAAAAAAACAAAAAAGTTTTCTCGACCTTTCATGACCTCTAGAGGACGAAGAAATAGGTCTCCCGTTGCCGTCTGTCTGTCTGTCGTCCGGGATTTTTATTAGACAGATAATCTCCGAAAGTACTGGGCCGCTTGTTGTCAAATTTTGTATTTATATTAGGAATAATTAATAGGAATAAGAATTACTCATGTAGATGGTAGAACGCTAACCAAAATTTGTCTGATCATCCCCACCACTAATGCGATGACGTACCTTCAAAATTGTACATAGTAAATGGATTTTAAACTCTAACTCTCTCTGGAAATCTAACCAAAACTTGCCCAATCTCCCTATCAATGTCATGGCATCTCAAAAATGTGTATAATAAATTTTATAAAAGAGCGTACTCTTGTATTTGTTTTATTGAATACAAATTCGCAAAATCAATTTTTTAATTTTTCAAAGAAGCGTAATTTGGGGCACTGCACTTCGGGGGGAGGGAAGTCCTGTCGAAATAACCTTCGACCAATTTTTTTTTTCGTAAGTACTGTTTTGCTACTCATTTAGTCTTATTAGATGATGTCAGCCACATAAATTGTAGAGTCTCCAGTTACAATTATCTATTTGAAATATTCTGAATGAATAACACTGTGTAACAAAAAAATTATTATCTTGCTTTTTTCACATTTATCGTTGTATCCTGATGTAACTTTTGACATGCTGTGGTTCGTTTGGTCGAACTGTCCCTATTTTCATTTATTTAATTTTTTTTGTAAAAGAAAAAAAAAATGTATGTATTTTGCGTTTAAATTCGAAAATCGTAGCCACACGCAGGTGTAAATTATCTGCAACTTCTTTTTGTTACATTTACGGTTATTACAAAACTGTTGACTAAGTGAAACATAAAATAGTTCCTACGACAAAGTTCTGGGTAGCATATGAAGCGTACTTTGAGGAACTATTAAGAACCAGGATAAACCATGGGTTCATCTTGTTTACTGCGGAAGTTGCTGGTCAAGTTTGGAAGCATGGTTTCGAGGAAACCTTACCTAAGTCTGTAGCATTTGCCATTTCCCGTTTTTTAAGAGAACCAAGTAACCATCTTACTGGTTGTTATATATTTTTGTACGGTAAATATATTTTATAATTTAATTGGTGGCAGCCCTCCCAAGCCCCAGGGCCAGGCGAAGGTTCATTTTTATTTTTTTTTTGTAAATAATTTATGCCTTTTTTCTTCTTTGTAGTATTTCCAATTAATTAAACTGCTTTCGTTTTTTTTTTAATTAAAATTTTGACATTTTTCACTAAACAACAAATAGTTAAATATTTTTTATATTAGGGATTCTCTGTACGAACCAAATTCATATTCTCTAAGTATAGACTAAATTACACCCAAAACCACAAAAAAAGTCAGATAAATATTATTTTTCTATAATTTTGTTACATAGTGTAATTCATTGCTTTTTCCATTTAAGGCAACTGCCTATAAAAAGTTAAATAGATAGATGATGGTACATATATTATTAAAGCTCCAAGGGGTGTGAAATTTAATACTTATTTAGTTAATTAAATGAAAATTTTATTTATTATAATTTAAGATTTAATAACACGAAATTACTATCCTTTGTGTCGTACATCTTCTTTTAATCATTTTAATTATATTTGATGAATATAAATAAATACAATGAGCTTATAGAAACCCAAAAATACATCCAATAAAGTTGCCGCAAAAACAGGAATTCGTCGATTTGGAATTGTTTGTGGGTTCAACTAATATTATTTTGGTCGATACGGACTCTGATTAATTTCATTGTATGTTATTTTTATCAGTTTTGTTTGATTATTGAATTTTTATCATTTTCTATTAAAATAATATATTTTTTAGTTCTTTAGTTAAAAATATTACAATAAACGTTGCATAACAATTGCAAAGTATTGCAACCGAAATCGTACTTTATTTTCCACATTTCTAGTTCTAAAAACAACGAGTGGTCCGTGAGTGCCGGTGAGTGTATAATCGATTCTGAACATATTCATGTCGTGATAGTTGTGAAACTGACAATTATTAAATAAGTACGTCCAAGGGATTGGAAACGAGTCTTGAGATTTTATATATTTCTTGACAAGACTGGAACAAAAAAGATTGTAATAGCTTAAATATCTTAAAGTAGATTGGCGTGCTTTAAGAAAATAATAATGATAATACATTATACATTGTGGAATTGTTAAAATCAACACAATGTTTTATTAGGTCTTCAAGAATGGTGGCTCTGCAAAGCTCGACGTCCCCGAACACCCAGCTTCTTTATCCAAACCGCCTTCCCTCACTAACGAAATGGACAAGACCGAAAAATTCAAGATTTTCCGCCAAAAACTACAATATCGTAGAAAAAAAGCGGAAATGTACTCTCTCTGGTGCGACTGCCTGTACCGTCTATCATTAGCCAATCACGTAAGAATTTTTATACCTCACACATCATAAACTAAACTCTTCCAACAGTACAGGAACGACATTTTTTGGCTACCTCACAATATGGACTTTCGTGGTCGCGTCTACCCCATACCTCCGCATCTCAACCATCTAGGTTCCGATCTAGCACGATCGATGTTAGTTTTCGCCGAGTCGAGGCCCCTAGGACCCGAAGGTCTGAATTGGCTTAAACTCCACCTGATTAACTTAACAGGTTTGAAGAAACGAGACTCGATTGACGATCGATTGGCATTTGCCGACACGATGATGGACGACATACTCGATTCGGCTGATAATCCGCTCACTGGTAAACGGTGGTGGATGGAATCCGAAGAACCATGGCAGACTTTGGCTTGCTGTATGGAAATAGCTAATGCCGTCAGATCCGATAATCCGGAAAATTATAGATCTCATTTTCCCGTGCACCAAGACGGTAGTTGTAATGGTTTGCAACACTATGCGGCTTTAGGAAGAGACAGTGCAGGGGCGTACAGCGTAAATTTGTGTCCTTCTCAGGTGCCTCAAGATGTCTACAGTGCTGTTGTGATGCTAGTGGAACAACAGCGTTTAGTGGATGCGGCCAACGGCAATCAGGTAGTTAGTTTAATCCAATTTATGCAGTATATGCTGGTCATACATATTTCTGTGGTTTGGGTAGGTTCTGTAACAAAAACGAAATTTTATTTGTTTGTGTAGGTTGCTAAAGCCCTTCATGGTTTTGTGAAGCGTAAAGTTATTAAACAGACCATCATGACCACCGTTTATGGGGTGACAAGATTTGGTGCCCGGTTGCAAATAGCCAGACAATTGAAGGATATAGATGAGTTCCCCAAAGATCTAGTTTGGGCCGCGTCTTCCTATTTGACTGGACGCACTTTTGATTCCTTGAGGTCTATGTTTACGTCGACAAGAGAAATTCAAGACTGGTTTACGGAATGTGCTCGATTAATTTCGTCTAGTGGGCAACATGTAGAATGGGTGACACCAATGGGTTTGCCTATTGTACAACCATACATTAAGTACAAGCATTTGGGGAGCTCGATGGTTTATAAGCCATATCATATGGATCAATTTGAGTAAGAATGAATAACTGTGTTTACTATTTGAACTAAGGCTTTGTTTACAGAAAACCAAATGTGATGAAGCAAAAAAATGCTTTTCCTCCTAATTTCATACATTCGTTGGATTCTAGTCATATGATGTTAACTTCTTTGTATTGCGAGCGAGCAGGAGTTACTTTTGTTTCTGTGCACGACTGTTATTGGACGCACCCTTCTACTGTACATATAATGAATAAGGTATAGTGGTTTTAGCATTTTGGTCAATGGTGAGATAAATTTTTTTATAGATTTGTAGGGAACAGTTCGTGGCACTACACTCGTTGCCAATTTTGGAAAATCTGTCTGTATTATTAACGGAAAAATACAGCTTTGGCAAAAAGTAAGTTTGTGTGTTGTTTTATATCGATTGCGTTGTAATGTTGATTTTTTAGTGATTTTGTGGGAGATGGATCCGTGACTGATTTAACGAAGAATAAATTAAATAAAGTTTTAAGAAAACTTCCGGCAACGGGTGATTTCGACATCAATCAGGTTTTAAATTCTATATACTTTTTTAGTTAAATGTAAGAAATAAAGTAATATTTATTAACAAAAATTGTTTCATAGAAATATTTATATACCTACTTATAACATTTTTATGCTTCTATAAGTATATGTGGGGAATGGTTATAGTGGATCAATTAGAGGAGTTCTTTTGCGATTTTGACTCCCTCACCACTTTGCTATTGAGTAATTCTTTCGCTCTTTGATAGTTTCTGGACACTTGATTTCCATAAACCAACTGTTTTATCCAACCTCACAGACAAAAATCACACGGATTAAGATCGGGTGAACGCGAAGACCAAGTTACTGGGCCGTTTCTACCGACCCATTGGTTAGGAAAATGGTTATTTAACCATTCAGTGATTGGCCTAGCGAAATGTGGTGGTGCTCCATCATGCAAGTACCACATGCGAACTCGTTGACCTAGAGCCACTTGCACATCTAGCTGCTCTTCCAAGACATTGTTTAAAAACTCGAGGTACTGTGCCGCGTTTGGTTTGTTTGGTAAAACATAAGGTCCAACTAAGCGGTCATTTACGATACCGGCCCACACATTTATGGAAAACCGCTACACCATAAAGCATTACCATGTCGACACGTTCTGAATTGGAAAAATCCATCATTGTTAAAGACGGCAACCAACTGATACATGACTGGCCTTTATCGTGTTTTTGCAGATTGCTTATCTGTGCGCCGCTTTTTGGTTCTTAATCCTAGCCAAGGTTATGGTAGGTTAAGAAACACTATCAGTGGCGTGTATAACAATTTATATTTAATTTGAAATATGTATTTTGTTCTAGACATGGCTACCACATAGGAGCGTGTACTTTACACCGTGCAATAAATCTTATTCTGAGCTATTCTCACTCTCTATTTCATTACAAACAATTTTTTAAAGCCCTTTTAAATTGAATGGGTGTGGGATTATAGCAATTTCTACTCTGCTGTTTGACCATTCTGAAAAATAAATATCTGTAGCTTATGACTTGTCCACTCGCTAACAAAAAATTTCTGGTATCACTATCGGCGTAAAAAAAATGTTTCGTTCGTTGAAACACGCAACAAATTGGCAAAATTTAAAAAGGCTTGTAATTAAATGATAAGTATAAAATGCATTTTTTTTAGGTAACTTAAATAGTTTGTTATGTACATTAATAAGTTTGTTCAGTAGAAATTGTAAGTATTAAAATAAAACGTGACCAGTACAATGTGCAAGTATTTAATTGTGCTGTCTTTAGTAAAAATAACAGATGTTCAGTAGAAATGCTAGAGTGTCTGGTTGACATAACTCATGGTAGAAGGAGACATGGTATAGCCTATACTATGGACCTAACTGGCGATGGCACCTTTTAATGAATACTATTTAGTAAAAAATAGTAATCTATAAGTACATACGGGTAATTGTAACAATAGGTAGGAAACAATATTTTTAACAAATATTTTTATTGGGAAAATAAAACAAAGGCCTATACATAGTAAAAAAAAAATAACAATAAACAGTAAAATAATAGTAATAAACAGTCTTCATTGTTTAAATAATAACAAATAAATGATTCTATATAATAAAGACTAACATGCATATTCTAAAAAAATAATGAGGTTATGTATCATGTGTGGGTGTTAACTATAAAGAACACCATAATTTTCTAACGAACCTGTTCAATTTCTACTGAACCTCTATGATTTCTACTGTACATCCAACATTATTAACTAAGCTTTCGTTATTTTTACAGGGCAATAGTTTTATTTACTGAACAAAATGAATAATATACATAACTTCCATGATAAAAACATATCGTTAAAATTAGTTACTGTAACAGAAAATTTGTTATATGACAATTATATTTTCAAATGAACAATTATATAATATATCGGTAAAGGTAACTTGTCGAAAAAATATTATACTGAGCAGAATATTTTTACCGATTTAAAAAGTTGGAACCATTAACTGAAATGAAACCCCTGACTTTTAGATTTAACTTCTGCAATTCATTGATGACTTCAAAGAAAAGAATTTTTTGACGTCGAATCTTTTACTTTCTTGCTTATTTTCAATTATCTAGTGTCCCAGGTTTATGCTGATGGCCGTCACAAAGGGTGCCGCTTAGGTCCAGGAGAGGCTGATTCGGGACCTGAGAAAGATAAATGAGATACAGTTTCGCTCCATAGGTTATTAATTATTAATAATAACAGCTGGTTTAAGTAATACCTGCAACTGCGAGTGTGGGGTAATTAAGATTACCGAAATTATTTTTCTGGTATTTAAATTTGAATACGGAACATTTACATAATCAAGAATAATAAATGATAAAATCTTACCTCTAATAACAGCGCGAATTACTTACGCGTGAATAACATTAGGTGATAATATAGTCAAGAACATTAAACTAGTGTAAAATAAATGAGCAGGGCTATGATCCCTAGGCTCGGCTTACTAAAGTCATTGATTAAATACATATAGATAGACCCATGCTATTGTTTGGAGCGAACAGGCCAACGGCCGGCGAACAAGAGATGGCGCACCAACAGTCGGCCGTCAAACGCCGGCGAAAAGCTTGGACACCAATCGCGCGCGTAGATAACTCAAATCACAGCAACAATACATTTAATAAAGCTACCACTCGATAGAGGGCGACGAAAAAATGTGTAAAAATCTCATAGTTATCATTTAAATAATTTGCAACGTTGCCAGATGAGCCTAACACAAATTTGCCGTTATTTCTAGCCAAGTAGGATTTATTTCGTTTAAAAGTTTCTGATAAAGAAATGGGATTATTATAATGAATAAAAATAAATAAAACAAACAAATTATTAAGTACTTGTTATTTTAAATACTTGTTAGTGCTAACATTATTATAAATACGGTCCGGTAACTCAAATTTTATAGAAAGAGTGAGATGTTTCAGGACGAGGCGACCGTAGGGAGCCGAGTTTTTAATTTAGAAACGAGTTCTGCGAAAAGAGTTATCGGAGGTATGTCGTTATGGATTTTATTTCATACTCTCAACATATTTTTTTTGTTAGATAAAATAATTACTATTTTGGAAAAAGTTCAAATCAAGTCACTTTTTCTGACATCGTTAGCAACCGCTGTTTGGCTAATGTTTTAATTTGTTTATTCGTGCAAATCAGCATCAAATGTTTAAACTAAAATTTATTAGTCTAGAGACGGACAGATATATACTAAAGACAAAACATATCCATTCATATATGTCTTAAAAAACGGGTAACATATGCCGCATAAACTAAAAAATAAGACATTTTCTTTCACATTTTATATTGTAAATGCAATTAAGTATATCGATAACTCGCTACTGAAAATTTATTGAAATATAATTTCTGCAAAAAAAAAGATTGTTGTGGTTTTATGGTTTATTGACATAGTTTACTTATTTAAAATGAATATTTTTCATACATAGCACAAGTTCTTGATATTATTTATTTTAATTTCAAATAATAATTGTGTTTCCTTTAATTTTAACCAAGAAAATTTTTCGGTTATTATCCAACATACTTTTGTACATTAAGAAACTCCATTTCACGTCGCGGGACGTTACAGAACAATATTTAAGTAAATAAGCTTTTCCAAAAAGAAGTCGTTTTTATGTGTTTTAAAACTCACTCTTTTATCTCCGGACTTTCGGCTTTTTAGTGTTTCACTTCGACACAAGAATATAAACAGTGGAAAAATGGAACAGTTTTAAAAACTATTCATCTATTTGTTCTGTCTTGCAGCGAGAAAGGAATATAGCATATTGTACCCACATTTCATAGTAAAAATATGGATCCGGTTTAAAATTTTACCTACCTACTTAATTACGTTAACAAACTAAAATTTTCATTGAAGAGACAGGCTGTTCTAGGAAACTTTATTACAAATCTCTTCATTTACGAGCTGCTGAAGGACCGCCGGTCTCATTGATAATTCTTACCTACTTCAGTTCTTACCTGGCTTGTACTTAAGAATGAAGCGAAAAATAGGATAAAGAATTAAATGCGCACTGGCTTTCCTAAATGATAAAATTTACAGTTCAAAATTTTTGACGTTCGGTTTACTTGAACAGTGAGCATTACATACAAATACCATAATTACATCACAATATTTGTTGGGCAAACTTTTGTTTGGAGGAGCAGGATGACAATAGGAAAAAATTAAAATTGTATTAGGTGGTACGTCTTTCGATAAAAATCCTAACTGTAGTCATAATTTGTACTTGTAGCTGTAAACGAAAATAAATATTTTGTAGTTATTATTGTGAACTTCCTACGAATGCAACAGAGAGAAAGATGAATTTATGGTAGTGTTTCCCGCGTAATTTTCAGGTAGTCACTCAGATGTTACGATTCTGAAATTGTTTGCCTGGTTTTCAACATTGTCTAGTACTTTTAGATAACAATGTCCTATACGACCCAACCTATTTATCTTTTACGTGTATTACTGTTTTTCAGAATTTGACAATTTTCATTAATATTTATATGTATTAATGATAATGAACATGGTTTCATCGAAAGCTGAGTGAGCGTCACTTTATTAATAACTCGATGTTTATCGTGTGTTACCATTTCATAATTTAATTTTTATATTACAGTTCTGAAGGAATTAGTTTTGTCAAATGTATTATATACATATATACAGGGCGATTCGGCCTAAATGACGAATTTAATTTGTCGTTAGCACGAAGTCTGTGATTTTAAAAACGTCAAAACAACTGTACAAAGTATTTAATTACCTAACAGGGCAAATTCTAGGATCTGTGGTGTTTGTTGCAAGCCATTTGCTGTCTGTTAATTTATGGCTACCTCCTTGAGCTGTTTTGGAAAAAATACAATTGTATTCTATTCGCCCCGTAGGCAAACCACAATTATCACTTTCTTCCTTAAAATGTTTGATAGTAACGTTAACACCTTCACATCCCCTCCAAGCTAATTCTAATCCAGCCACATAAAAAAACATTTTCTGTAAACCATCTGGCGTGTCTTCGTTATAAATCTTTAGAATCTTGTTGTATTCTTCTAGAGTCAAAATTGAGGAACTAGTTTTGCGTTTTTCCGGTTGTATTTGTAGGTTCCGGCGTTTTGCGTCGCGTGCATTTCTACTACCCTTGAATTCCAGGTCAACAAAAGGATCAAACTTTATACCAAATTTATTGAAATACAGTTCTTGCAACTGCTTTGCCGTTACATTCCACATCGTTTTTATTACTGCTTCTTTGTAGTCATTACCATCGACTTTTTTCATATTGTACCCCCAATCTTTGAGGATGAATGCTAGTTTTTCCGTGGAAGTGTTTCCATCAAAAACATATTTGCGTTCACCGCAAAACTTCTCAAATTGCCTCCAGATTGAATTTCGTGAGTTCTTCGTATTTAGCGGCGTAATGTTTGTAATAGAATCATCAATTTCTTTTGGCGTGTTACGACCAAAACGAAAATTGGACATGGTTTTTTAAACCCACACAAATTTTGCAAAATGGCTGTTCTTATTTACTTGCGTCGCCATAGTATCGCACACCAAACTACTTCGTAAATCATTATAAAATTATTTTTAAAATGTTTGTTCTTGCAATAATCTGTTGAATATATTGCGTGCATCACAATGAAATCGATAATTTTGAACAACAATAATCTCTCATGCTTGTTGCCTAAGAAAAATGCACTCGTGCTAAAGCACTCGTGCGTTTTCAATGCAACAAGCATTCGAGTTATTGTTGCTCAAAATTATCGATAACATTGCGATGCACTTAATATATTATAACTGATAACTATGAGATTTTTACACATTTTTTCGTCGCCCTCTATCGAGTGGTAGCTTTATTAAATGTATTGTTGCTGTGATTTGAGTTATCTACGCGCGCGATTAGTGTCCAAGCTTTTCGCCGACGTTTGACGGCCGACTGTTGGTGCGCCATCTCTTGTTCGCCGGCCGTTGGCCTGTTCGCTCCAAACAATAGCATGGGTCTATCTATATGTATTTAATCAATGCTAAAGTTAACGTAGGGTTGTTGAGTGTTGCGGCTATAATCATGGTACAAATACTGTGGTACAAGGGTCCGAAAAGTCGGCAAGGTGTGCTGATTCCATAAGCCGGGTCAATTACTTGGATCGGAGGGGGAAGCTTGGCGATGCGCTTGTGTTACGGTTTGAAGGAGGTCGGCTTATTAGAGATGCACTTGGCACGAACAGCGAACTGAGCTGAAGCTTGTGAGTAGAGAGAATGTTGTTCAGAACATCTTGTATTTTACTGGAAAGTAATAACCATTGATTTAAAATGTCTTGCGTTTATGTATGTGACAGTGACACTAACGTTTCAAAAAAGAAAAGCAAACTTATGGCAAACCATGGTCAAACTTGTTACAGAATCACTAAATCTTAAAGGTTGGCGGCCTTTTAAGACGTAGCACGGAATTTTTAAAATGCCAAAAATATTTGTCAAATTAGTTAGGGTTTACGGGATATGAACTGGTCGATTCGCCTTCCACCGTACCATTGCCAGTACAAACCTACCGGGCTGGAATAGGTGCAGTGGAAACGCTTTTATAATAAGCAAAGATAGTTCACAATTTATGAAAGCCATACTACCGTGCATTTCAAGCATTTGTAGAAAAAAATGTTTTGCATTTCGAAAAACAATTCACGAGGACTCAGAGAAGTTAATGGGAACGTCACTTGTGGACAATATGCCACCCGTGGTTATAAATGTGGCGGAGTCATTAGATTCGTATGACCCAAAATTTGAGTTTGTAGACGAATTAATTTATTTAGATTGACATTAAACTGGAAAAATGGTGTTCACAATTACAAAGCTCAAAAAATAAAGGTACTAGATTTATTTAGTTGTCTATCTATTTGCTCATCCAAAAAAAATTGATGACGTCACCCATCTAAAATGTACAAAATATGATGAGTCTGTCTTGTGATTTATCATTCCATCCATATTTTTTAGATTTGCTTAACAAGTCGCCCAAAAAAATTAATGAATGAATCAATTTATTTTATTGATTAAATGGGGAATAGTTCACTCCATTTTCCCGAAAATTTGAGAATACAGTACTTTTATTTTTAGTATTACACTACATTTATCCAAACTGATATACGTGTCCTTGCAAAAATGTTGATGACGTCGTCGCAATCTTTTGTTAAATTGCCCCGCTACAAAAATGTAATGAGAAAAAAAAACATAATAGGCATGTAGTCGTCATGTTTTCGACAGCGAGGGAAGTACTGTCTAAACTCTTTACACCAATTTTTTTTTATTAACAACTTACTGAAATCAACAAGTGGTGGTTTTTTAAGTTTGGCAGAAACTATAAAAGTACCTATATGAACCTAAATTTAATTGAAAACATCATAAAACTTGTAATTCACTTTTTGTAAAAGACGTCCTCAGGACTGGTTCATTTTCAATAACTTTCATTTATTGTTATCACGGATGTATATTTGGTTCCATAACTTATTTGTCATTTAATTTTTAAAAATTAGTTGCTTTCAGTTTTAAATTCAAAAACGATCAACGGAAAAGTATTGTAACCAACTCTTGTGTTAATGGCCGATCAACACACTTGTTGCTTAAATGGAATATACAGGGTGATTCACAGAGTGTCTGAATTAGCGCCCTTTTTCCTGCAACCCAAATTACCTTCTCATAGGATATTTCGCTGTTTTTCAGTTGGTATAAAAATTTGTGATTGCAGCAATCCGATTTTAGAAAACTGAAATAAAAGTTTCAATCAAATGTGTCAAAATAATTACGTTTTTTTAACAAAAGTAATGTTTAATTATTATTGAAACACAACATAACATGAAAAATTAACGGAAAATGTATTCAAAATGTCCCCCACGACTTCCTTCACTCTAAATGATTCACGTGTAAGAAGATCGGTCATCTAGACTAGAATACAAAAAATGGGTATCCCGTTTCCGTCCGTGTGTCTGTTCGTCCTCCGTGACGATTTTTGTTGGACAGATAATCTCCGAAACTACCACGTGGATGGTAAAACGCTAACCAAACCTTCTCTAACCATTCCAGTCAGTAATGTGATGACGTCAACTAAAAATTGTATAGTAAACGGGTTTAAAATTGTATAAAATAACATAGTCGTACACGTGTGGTTTATGAATACGTGTTGAATTTTTACGTGAAACGTTCAGATTTTTCGAAAAAAAAAAAATACATACAGGGTGTTATGGAAAGGTACGTACAACAAAATTGACAGTTCTTCGCGAAATCTCAGAAGTCTGAAAAACTTATTTTGTGTTATCAAAATTATAAGGGGAAAATTAACTCTTATCCAACCTTTTTAGACGCTACTGAAGGATAAATAGGTAAAATTAATTTATTTTAGTAAATCCTAGGAACTGTAACATTAATAAAAAAATAAGAGACCCTTTTGTTGCTGTAGAAGCGAAAGATGACCTTTTTATCAGAGGCGTATAACGAATTTGGACATAAATTTTAATAATTTTTATCTCTAAAAGGAGAACATATTTACCTGAACTTTTTTTACTTTTAGCACCCAAACTCCTAGACCAATTGTCGATTTTATTTTGTACGTACCTTTCAATAACACACTGTAAATATATAAGATTTTGAAATGTAATTTTGAATCTGCAAAACCGAATACTTTGAAATCTTGCAGATATTTTAAAATTATCATAAGCATGGTAAATTTTTAATCAAAAATCTTGTGTGAGGAATTAAGAAATGTTATAATCAGACTTCGGCATAGCGGAAGTGATGCTCATTGTCGTCCGATTGCCAGCGCTATTGCAGTCGTGGCCTGCAACTTTAGAAATTCTTAATAATAATTACTACTTTTTCTAGGTTTTCCTCAGTTATACGAGTTCTCCTACGAGTTCAAATGCTTTAAAAATTAAAAATGACTGTTCAACATCACAATTTTCGTGATCAGATAAACCTTAAATTACATCAAACGCCACTGAGGTTGAGACTGCACAGTCAGCCAGCCAAATTTATCGCCTGAATTAATGTTTGTCTGATTGATTCCCTATCACTTCGGCTGTACCTAAAACTAGTTATAACGTAACACTTAAGTATAAGCATCCAGAAACCTTATTTATAACTTGATAAACAAAAGGACGAGTCCTGAATAAGTGAATCTCATGAAATCTCTTAGTAAATGCTTTATCTGAATCTCATGACTGTTAAATTGTGTTAGAACCGGTAACGATTCAAATCGTAATATGAGCTGTGAATTTATAAACAATAAATCAAATTTACACCACGTGTTAGCATCGGTCGAAAATTCGCATATTTCCGATTAGAAAAAGAGCAATAATTAGTTACGCTTGTTGGGGAAACTGGTGACAGAATTTGAATCAAAATTTTCGCGCTGAAATTAATTAACAGCGGCGGGAAATCACATTTGAATAATTTGAGTTTGACAGAAAAAAAAAATTCATCAAATCAACAACTCGTTAAACAAACATGCACGTAGCGTTAGTTTAGTTAGAGTTAGAGGGCGGTTTGCTAGAGACAGAGGGCCGTTTGGTAGAGACAGAGGGCGGCATAGCGAAGCGTCAGTCTGGATGTGTTTGTGTGGGTGTAATCAGGGACGGATGGGGTACAGTTTTCCGGCCCGGGAAAATAACAAGTACGGCCCAGACCGAAAAGTCATTTTTTTATTTTTGTTGCGGAGGAAACCGATATTTGTCAGACACAATTAATCATGAGTAATGTGAAAAAGATATTCACTCTTTACAAAAAAAAATGCATTTCACAAAAAATAAAACCTATATTTCACAAAAAATTAGCAAAATCGAACTAACAACTATGTAATCTAATATATTAAAGCTTTTTTTAACAAACTACTCTCTGCCGCAAGACTGTTAATGACTTCTTCATTATCAACTGTATTTAAAATGGATTTTTCCACATTCATGATGACGAAAGATTCCAGTCGGTCATCTGTTAATCTATTTCTTAATCTATTTTTAATATATTTCAGAACCGAGAACGATCTCTCACACTCCACTTGAGTTATTGGAAGTGTTAGGAGATACTGATACGCTGTAGCAAGTGCACAATATGCCCCCTGGAACATGTTATATTTCAAAATAACAGTGTAGCAACATATTGCACAGTTTTTGCAACTCTTGCAAATATTTTTTTTCAGTTTAACATCCGTAATTTCGGAAGAATTAGGTAAATTTACAGTATCGATACCATCCTCATTATCATAGTCGTCCTCAATGATATGTAGATCTAGATCGTAATTTGTCTTGTACGTATCCTCCAAAGTTAATTTTAGTTTCTCCCAATTTGAGGCAAAACTTAAAAGCTCCTCTTTTAACTGGGAAGAAGTTGCAGTCGAATTATATTTTATTATTTTCGCGGACAAGTACTTCATGCAGTTGTCTGGCAAACTTTTTTTGTTACAAATTTCTTCAAAATTATTGGGATCTAATATTGCCATATCCCTACATATATCCATATTTTTTAAAAATCGATTATTCATGGCTTCAACCACAATGTCCATCACCACGTTAAAAGTAGATATCTTATATCTTTCTTCTGGAGATTATGGCTGCTCATCAATTGATTTTTCTTCATAACATTTTTTTACGTATCTTCGACGTACGTTAGTGAAATGTTCCTGTATATCTGCATCTACGTCTTTTGACTCTAACTCTAATTTAGCCCAACGTAAAAATGTGTTTGTAGCCTCCTGGATAGAGATAAAATCTCTCTGTATAGACCTCAGTTGTTCGATAGTCGTCTCTAACATGTGGTTACATTTAAGAAGATCTAATCCTCTAGTTTGCAGATATCTTGACAGAGGACCAGTTATACTAAAAATCTTTAAAAATATTTGCGCAGTGATTATATTTTCGTATTTCAATAAATTATCCTTATGATTTTTAGCTGTAACCCTGGTGTCATCAGGATTAATTTTATCATTTTTTTCAATTTTTTCCAAAGTATCAATAACAACAACATATAAACTGTTTTCCGGTTTATTAAAATCTCCAAATATTTTCTTAAGCGCCAGTTCCTTAGGGCCGGTTTATCAATGCGCAGTTAAGTTAAAGTAACTGGCAGTTAAAGCTTGTCTGTCAGTTAACCTGTTTATCATTACCCGCTAGCTCAAAACTAGTGGTCAAAGTGCCTGATAAATTAACTGACAGTTCAAACTGTCAGTTAAAACGTTATCCGCCAGTTAGTGACAACATAACCTAACAAATCCAAATAAATCTGTTATGAATTTAACAATATTTTGATGAGGACTTATGTTGTGCAACAAATTGACAGAGAAAAGATGAGAAAAACACTTATTATTAGCTGATTATTTTCCTGGTCTAATGTGGGTACCAAAAATTAAAAACCTATCTAATAATACCGCGAGATCGAAAAAGAAATTAATCGAAGTAGGCCATGCACGACAAGCCATTTGTCGTAATCACGGTGGTAGGGTAATTTAATTTTTTTTATTAAATGTCAAATTGACAGTTTAGAGATTAGAATTATGACGCCTACTTTTAAAACACATAAGAATGAATTAAAATCACCGTTTTCCAATTTTGTCTAAAATTTATCCCATTTCTGAAGATTCTAATAACAAAAAAGCTTTAATTTCGTTTGATAACAGTGCAAATTACTTTTGTCAACGTGACGATTAATCAAAAATTATTTTAAACTAAGACAAACGCCTTTTCGTGCATGGCCAACTTTGACTAATTTCTTTTTCGATCTCTCTGTATTTATTTATAGGTGTACCTACTTGTTTCATTTTTAATTTCCAATACTTTTTTTCTAATGCTAAATTTTGCTTTTTCGTGATTGATCACGTGAAACGCGATATACAATCGTTGAATACCGAATGCGGATCAAATCTGACGGAACTTTCAAGGTCGGGGTAGTTTTGAACTGACCAATCACAACTCATTTCCAGTGGGGTGAGCGTTACCAACTTAAGAGAGTAACAGCTAAACTTCGAGCTACGAAACTGGAAGAAACATCGTGCATTGATAAACACTTTACCTCCGTTAACTGCTAGTTACCCTTATCTGACAGTTACTTAACAGACACTTTTAACTGAGCATTGATAAACCGGCCCACCAACGGGTTGCACCAATACTTTGAATCTTTCTGTGTTTTGAATCAGTAGAATTATTATTAGACTCCCAAATGTTCATACGTTGGTAAGATTCTTTAAAGAAAGAAGATATCGAGTTTAATAAAGAAAAAAGTGAAGCAGCTTTTAAATTTGCATTCAATATATCACACAGGACTAGATTTAGAATGTGACTGTAACACCAAATGTGCACATGGTCTGAATTGAGGTTTTGCATATTTGCAGAAAAACCATTATATTCACCCTGCATATTTGCCGCGCCGTCTGTCGAATTTGTAATACAGTTTTGAGGATTTAAGCCATTACTTTCCAATACATTTAAGACAAGAGCCTCAAAACCTTTTCCAGTTGTATCGGTACATCGAATTAGCGAAAATAATCGTTCGATAATATTTCCCATGTAAACATATCTGGCAAAAATACAAAAATGTTAATGTTTAATGCTACATATATAAAAATTTCACTATCTTACCTTATAATAACCGAGCATTGCTCCTTTGTGGAAATATCTTGCGTAGAATCTATTTCAACAGAAAACATTTCGGCTTCTAAAATCTCCACTGACATTTTCTTTTTCATAATTTTAGTTATAATAGAGATTATTGAATTTATTGTAGTCTTTGATAGGAATGTTAAAAAATTTCCTGTTCTTCGGGTGTTACCTTTTTCATGAGCTCTTTTGCTGGCTTTGATGATTACATCCAGATGTTTTTTGAAAATTATGTCATATTTGGATATTAATAAAACTATTTCAAGAAAATTTCCATGGTCAATATTTTCATTTTCTAATGAATATGCGGCCTCATTTAAATTTCCTCTGTAAGAAACGCCTGTCTTGCCTATAAATTTAATGACGTTAATAATAGTACTTAATATTTGTCGATTGTTGATCACTTCCTGATTGCGCTTGTGGAGATATTGACTGTATAATAACTTGTCTATAGTTTTATTCTTCAGGTGCATAAAATATGCATCACAATTTCTCCCGTGTAGAATAGTTCGTTCGTGTTCTTCAATTCGCTGGTAAACATGTTTCCAATCCACCATGCCGCAGTTAGAGTTAAAGCTATTTGTTTCTTTGCTTTCAAAAGCTAAACAAACTGAACAAAATAAAGCTTTTTTCGAGAAACTGTAGGTCAACCATACTCTATTAGTTCCATTTTCGCGTTTAAAAGCCTTATCAACTTTAAAAGGCAATCCTATTTGATTTTTTGGGATGACAGGATGATGATTAAAAAACATATTCAGTTCCATAACGTCCGGTCGTTTAAAAAAGTCGTAATCATCCGAATAATTCTCAGTTGGAGTGTTCTCTTTTGCCGCCACATTTTCATCTTTTTCACAACGCAATTCACTAGGAATATAATTGATAATTTTGACATGTTCTGTCTCATTAGCTTCTTGATGTTCTGCGGTTGTATTATCGCAGATCTTAGAGGTCGAAGGAAAATTGTATTTTTCATTTTCGGAAGCTGGTGTTTTTAGGAACATGCTTGTTAACGTCCTACAAGTTTTTGCTTCTTCCATCAGTCTTCGCTTTTTTCTCTCTCTTTCTTTTTCAGCGCCGCCCCTTGCTTTGGTTTTGTTGCTGCCTTTATCCATTGAACTACAATTAGGTCTATTTTTGTCAGTCCACTTGTTGTTGTGATTTACCCGTATTTTGCAGTTGAAGATCAAAGTTTGTATAAGCACTTTTGAGCGGACTGTACCTATATTATCTATAAATAAAAATACTAAATAGGCGGAAAAATAAACTAGAGAAAGGATTTACCTAAATTGATTAATCACTATAGTCACTAATATCAAATCGACACGTAAATTATTATTTAAACTGAAGTAAAGTATGTTTTTGATCTGAACTAGTAAACTACGAATACTGCGATCACTTTAAAATAAAATAATTTGTCAGTGGTAATTATTGCAATGTAGTCAGCTCTATTTTGAATGGAACACTGCTGAAGAAACAAGGGAAGCAGAGATCTGGGGAGTGTTGGTAGTGTGTTTAACACGTGTTAGGGTTTGAGCAATTTATGCGATTTTAAAAGAGCTGACCGCTGTCGAAGATATATTACTGTGCCTGTACCGACTCATTTCCAAGAAATAAGTCATTCCGATTTCCTTATTCGCAGCAGTGTTTCAAATCGGTTAATTTGGATTTAACCAATTTGACCGGCCCAGACTTGCCCAATTCGATCGGCCCTTCGGGATTTTTCCCGAATTCCCGACCGGCCCATCCGTCCCTGGGTGTAATCATGTGGTAAGGTAGTTTTGGTTAGTTTAGTTGGTTTGATAGTTAATAAAAGGGAGGAAGCCTTTGTTTAACGACAATCAATCGTAACTCCGATCACGACACGGCTTTTAATAAAAAAAAAATGCGATCTTTCAACGCGAAACACGTGCCGTAAATTTGTTTTATTGTTTGTAAATTCACCAATCAAGTTAGTTTTTCTTAATCGTCAGCTAGTGCTAACACAATTTAACAATCAGGATTTAGAAAAATTGCAAAGCAAAACTATTCCTCTGTAATTAGGAATTAATGTTGGATCGCCCTTCTTAAAAACAGGGGTGACACTGGCTTTTTTCCATATTTCAGGAAACTGTGAATTTCTTATAATTAGATTGAACAGGACATGTAACGGTTTGACCAAAACACAAGCGCAGTCCTTTAAAATAAAACTTGAAATTCCGTCTATGCCGGCTGTAAGTGAATTCTTAGATCGCTTTAAGGCTTCTAGAATTTCATCCTCTGAGATAGATGTAACAGATATGGGAGTACTAGAGAAACATTTTGTTACAGCGCACTGCTGGCTAAAATCGGAGGCAATATATAAGGAATTGAAGAAATCATTGAACGCGTTTATAATAGCGCAAGGACTGGACAGCTCACTATCGTTGTAGTACATTACCCCTGGAATTCTTGTGTGACCCTTTTTCTTACGAATATATTCCCAGAGCTTTTTCGGATCGGTTGAGACCGAATGTTGAATATTACTCAAATAATGTTGGTATGCAGATGTGATAAGTGTCTTACAGAGTGATCTGTAGTATCTGAATTTGATCAAATAATGTTCAGTTTTGAAACGTTTATATTTTTTATGAAAAGAATATTTCAACTTTAGCGAGTCAATTATCTCACAATCAAACCATGGAGGGTATTTGCGACAATTGTTGGAATTAATTCTATATTTGGGAACAGACTTGGTAAAAATTTCGTTCAAAGCGTTATAGAAAGAAGAACAAGCAGCGTTTACATCCTTAATATCATACAAGAAAGACCAATCTGCAGATAAAAGGTCTTGGTACAATAACAAAAAATTAGCTTTCATAAAGTTAAATTGTTCTGAATCGGTGTTCGTGCTGAAATTAACAAATGGCTTTTTTATTACCTCAAAGCTTAAATCTAAACTTGGATGGTAGTCATCTTCAATAACAAGAGCGTGCTCCGATCGGGTCACATTACAATTAAGATTAGCGAAAACTAAATCTAAGGTACAATTGTATTTGTTTGGCACGTTATTAAATTGGGTAAAGTTATAAAAGTGACTAAAATTATTTAAGTATGTACTTATACTGTCGTTGGACTTTTGGCAAAGATTTGGCGCATTAAAATCACCCAATACTATAACTCTGTCGTTGTGAGTTTCCTCAGTATTACTAAGTATGTCAAGAAATAATTGGTAATCATTAACGGACACAGATGGGGTTATGTATATATTACAATCATAAATTCTTTTAAAGAAAACTGAAATACGTGTGTAAAATATAAAGTTCTAAGAAGTGTTCTTTGATTTGTAATATGATTATGTTTTTAATATTTTTTTGCTTAAAATAAACCTTTTTTAATGAAAGTGTTATGCTTATTTAATGGTTTTTTGCTTAAAATAAAACTTTTTTTATTGAAAATGTTGTGCTTATTTAAGCGCTTATTCTTAATTTTTTTGTGCTTATAAATCCGCTCTCTACTTATAACTTTGGACCTCGTAATATAAACAGAACAGAATGTGCTATTAGGTCTTCAAGAACGGTGGCTCTGCAAACTAGATTCCCGGAACACTCAACTTCTTTGCCCAAACCACCTTCCATCACTAACGAATGGACCGAAAAATTCAAGATTTTCTGCCAAAAACTGCAATATATTTCTAAAAATTCCAAAATGAACTCTCTTGTGCGACTGCAAAGAATTTTTCTACCTTACACAGCATAATCTAAACTCTTCTAACAGTACAGCGACATATTTTGGTACCCTCACAACATGGACTTTCGCAGTCGCGTCTACCACATACGTCCCCCAAGATGTCTAGTGTGGTGAGTGGTGTTGGTGCTGGAACACGCGGCGTTTAGTGGATGGGGCTAACGGCAGTCAGGTATAGTTGGTTTAACCCAATTTATTTAGCATATGTTGGTCATACATATTTCTGTGGTTATGGTCTTGTGCTTTATGATGTTAATTTTTTAGTGATTTTGTGAGAAATGGACCCGTGATTAATTTAACGAAGAGCAAATTAAATAAGGTTTTGTTTACTTTTTTAGTTAAATGTAAGAAAGAAAGTGATGTTTATTCATGAAAAATGTTTAATTACAGAAACATTTATATACATATGAGTACTGGTTATAGTGCAACGATGAGAGGAGTGGCTTACGATTTTAACTCCCTCACCACGCTTGATACCACGAGCAATAGATGCAGCTTAAACTTAATGGCAGTTGTTCGTTGTGTTTGGTTGGTACGCTTCTTCTAAACAGAATCGGCTTATCTTTAGTGATATTCGTTTATGATGCTCTTTGTTCGGAAACAACCGATTTTGTAAATTCAAAATCATAAAACCACTGCTTTCGTTGGAACACTAGACGTCAGGAAAGTGAGTATTATAGATACCTGGTAAGATTCTGTAATTTGAGTAACTTCATGTTCCTGACGTCATAGATCGTTTTTTTTCTCTTTTGTTCAGATATGTGTCCATACAAGCACTGCCAATGGAATTATTGTTACTAAAAAATTTACGAAATGCTGAGGAGACGAATTGTCGTCATTGCATCGATCTGTGGAACACTCAACGCAACGGGTATTTACAATTTTTGAATGAAGATTTCCCAATTGTATCTTCTCTTGCCTTGATTTTGCCCTCGACTGGCAATCACCTTTCGGAATACATCCTTTCAATCTAACATCTGTTGCTTCTGTAAATAAAAATAACCAGTAGTTTTGGGTATTCCAGTGTCTGTTTGTTTGTGTTTGACTGTTACCTGTGTGAACATACAATGTGTGGCAGTTGTATTGTGTTTTAGGTGGTACTGTCACGTAATGAGCACCTTTGCTTTCAAATACATTTTGTAAATATTTTGTACAATCTTGTAAAACGAATTCCCCTTTTAGTGATGAGTTTGTGTTTGTGACATAACATTCCAAACCATGAGCTTAAAATAAAATTACTTGATTGATTAATGTTTTCGAAAAATTCAATGAGAAGCTTACTGTTTTTGTGTAAAAAAATAATTAATGGAAGCAAAACACTTATAACACCTTTCAGCATTTTGCACTGCATTACGATTTAAGGAAAACTTGTCTTATCGTATACTTCCTTCACACTTCCTGGATGTTATGACGTGTATTATCAGACACATGAAGACTACTGAAAGGAAAAGTTATTATCATTGTTATTTATTGTTTAAGAAAACAATTTTGCGCATGATCGCAGAGATCGTATATGTATATGTGTCTTTTGTGGCGTTTTCGGTTGACACGATCGGATGAATGTATTTAGATTAAGTGTTCAGTTCATTCGAGTGGCTTGGAGGAACATCGAAAATTTCGGATTGTACCATTTAGATAAAGCGAATCGTTTACTCGTCTCCTAATTTCTAGTTACTACATGGAAGTAAAATGAGAGAAGAGAAAATAGTTTGAAAAATTAGCGATCCCGCGCTTTCGACTGGTTGTTCCAGTGGCATGTTCGATATCGTTTGTTGAAAGGTTGGATATACCACAGTAGATCAGTAACGAAACTTCAGCAATATTTGCGGAACGGGTGTGACCTTGGGAGCCCGTTCCCGGGAAACACGAAGATTCAAATATTTCGTAGCATTCGTATGTGATTCATATAATACTAATAATTGTACACAAAAATAAAAATGGGTGGCATGTACTAGTGACATTGGCCATTTTTTTCTTTCTTATGAATTATTAATATATTCAAGCAAAACATTTTTATTCAATTTTGACGTTTTAAACTGCGTTTATTAAATCCTTAACAAGTCTGACAAATAAGTTGTTATCCACAAGTGAATTGCAAAATTTTTATTTCACTCTTAATATTTTTAAATCACTCACAAAAAAAATAAAAAACAACTTCAGGAACATAAACATTTTGCTTATTATTTTCAATAGTTTTCACAGAATACAATTTGTTTACAATTTTCACTAAAAGGTTGCTGCAACTAAATCAGTATTGTTTGACATATTTGTTTGGCTCTGTGAGACGTCAATTTGGGAATTGTATAAATCCCACACCAATACAATTCCAAAGTGTGTTTCGGAAACTATTTACTACAGATTATTTCGATACGAGTGCAAGAACCAACTGTGAAACACTATTTTATTTGAAAAGAAAAATTTGCTAAGGTGTTCTTTTAAACAAACTTCCACAACACATCTCCCCTGTATTCCGGCCTCTTCAACCATCATTAAGTGATGTGAGTTTACCGGAAACTCACCTTGAAAGAACACAACTGTTTATGGTATGTTTGTGGATACTTCATTAATACGAAAATTCTTACACCACCACTTCTGCGAAGTTTGTTGTGAACTTTGCACATTCTTACGAAGTGGTACATCCTGTTTTACTTGTGTGACATTTTAAAGTCTTCAATGAAGATGTGATTTTTGGCGATTTAATGATACCACCTAAACATTTTGCAGTTTATACTCCGATGGGTAATACATTTTGTGAGTTTTTCCCAATTTATGCACCGTAGTCGTTAACTGGTTTGCGGCTAAAAAACGAACCATACAAAAATACCATTCCACCACCCCTGCAAAGACTTTCCTCTTGATTACCTCGTTTCAGTTTTTATTAGTTAGAATTTTTTTACACACTAAAATTTAAAAATAAATCTTGGACCGCTCAAACACGCACACATCGAAAATTAAACTATTTCGTTTAACCTGCAGTTTGTTGACCTCTTTAGCCTGGAATTTTCTAGTATTTTTTACATGCATCGTAAGTATCTATTACTTTGTTAAAATAAATTTTACGTTTGTTTTTAACCCCATAACCCAACATCCCGTATGATTCCGTAATTAATATGACATTTCTTGTTGACAAAACCAGACAAAACGTTCACCGAAAACTTTAAAATGAAAAAGAAACTATGTTCTTCAAGGTCGGAGCACCTTTAGTGACGCTAGTGACCTCTTTATGTCGTTCCGTAAGCTCCCCATGTATTTCTTATGGAATCAACTGAGACTTTCATAGCCCTGGATATACGATACAAAAATTAACTTGTAGCAAATTAATGGCATTGATTAAATACGATTAAATACATATGTATTTAATCAATTATAATGGTATAAGGATCACGAAAGGGTAAGGGTCAAATTCTTTTACTATTTACTACCTGTGAACCCATTCATAACCAAACTGCACCGCCTTTGATCTGTTGACAACCGACCGCTCCCGATGTAGTACGAAAAAGCTTATAAATCGCTCTTGCGTGGAGCTCTTTTGCTGAGGTTTCTTTAACCTTAGTTAAATGAGGTATGCTCCTTCCTGTCATCCTACCTTCATGAGTTACCATGAAAACCCAAATATCTCGCCAAAATATGACATGTGAACAAAATTTTACAACATTTGAGAAATTCAAAATTTGGCCGTGAACTATGATCGTTAAGAAAATGAAACCGTACGTTGTCTTTTTTTTTGTGTGGCGGAATGCGTTGAAATGTAAAGTGGTGTACCCCAAGGTTGGAAAAGTGCTCTATCAACACAATAAAATAAAAATAACGTGTTGATAGCTTCGTTAATTTTACGCGCATTTCAGATTACCAAATCATGAATAATTATGAATTAATTACTTTCGTTGGAGAGAAACTGTGGCGTCATCTATTAATTTTTGTTTAAACAACTGCCCTTTTATGAAATTACAAACGACATTTAACCTACCCTTATTTTTCACCACGTAGTTGCACTCACAACAAACGACAACAAGTAAGTGAGAGTGGGTGTCAAAACAGGGATGCCAAAACACAGAAAGTGAGGCAGGATTGCCAGGATTTAAATATCATGTATCACCAACCTGACCTCAAAAAGTACCCAAAACGGATACTCGATCGCCACATTTCTGATGATCATGAACTTACGAATTAATCGTTTACAACAAGAACCACCAAAATTGTTAAACTTTATCAACATTTCCCAGGTTAATTAAACTAATAAAATAGCGCAAATCATCAGTTGATCTGCTGATGATATTACATGACCCCGATATGACGCGTGCCAAAAGCAACATCTGTAATCACTTTGTGTACAGTGTTGCCAGAGTGAAATTATGGGAGGGGGGGGGGGGGGGGGGGTGATTTCAGCAATTTTTTCAGTGAATTAAACATTTGTAGATGTTATTAATTATTGTCGTTATTATTCATGTCTGCAAAATTCTGCCACATTTCGAGGTTTTTTTGCACCGCCGCCGGTACGCCACTGTTTAGTCAAAATTCCGCTTCAAGTGGCAACACTGTTCGTGTATTGGTTTCTACTTCTCTGATTTGTTTGCATTTACCTGTCAACATTCCAGTACCAACCGATCACTGTGCCCTATTTAAAAAAATCGTTACGTAGGCTGTAGGCACCAGAAATTTATAACAGTGCCCGTGATATGATCCTGATGCCTACCTAACTTACTTACATAAAAAGATACCCGTTTTAGAAAAAAGCAGCCACTTTAAATCGCTATCGCCAACAGGGAATTTTATGGCGCCATTACAACTTACAACTACAAACATTGAGTGAGGGCGTTTTTCCCAACCCTTAAGCCACTACCAACCTAACAAATTAAGTGACATTCACTAATTTTTTAAACGGCTTACCACTCAAACTAAGAATGTCTACAGATGGTTGCCTAAGTTTTAATGATGTGATAACCCAAACTGTGACCCAAACATCCCGCCTTAAATTGACATGTGCAAAAAAATTAAAAGCCCGCGAAAAATTCTATTGTATCAGCAAACAGGTCGCCCAGCACCGCCCTATCACGAAGAAACGTGCCGCGCGACCAGGCCGTTAGGGTCGCAAACTCGTGGTTGGAAATTCCGGCTACTGGAACAAGCCGCGAGCGTCACGTCATCCCGACCGCTTCCCTGACTTCTATTCTAAATCTGTGTCTTTTGTGCAGATGACGCGACCGCCAGCTCGACAAGGAACCGCGCACTCCGCTTCCGCCACTGTTACCTCAATTCCATTTAAATCTTCAATTTCTATAACTCTGACATTCAACTACAACTGTACAAGTGTTTCAAAGTTTCAAGTTTCAAACGTGCAATAAACAACATTTAAATTCGCCATAAACTCCTGTGAAATTTTTAAACAGCAAAGAATTGTCATCTGAGATTAAGATTGGATCAGACAATTTATACGATGGAAACATTAATCAACAAAATATGTACATGGTCAAAAAAATAGCAAAGATTTATAAAAACAACAAAGATCTGGTGTGAAATAAAACTTGCAGACAAAAATATTACTTGAGGTCAGGAACTGCAGAGCATGAAAATTTAGGTTCAAATTAAATTATACAACAAAGAAAATTATTGAGGCTAAAATTGTTAGATAGAGAAAAATCGCATGACGTGAAAAATTGCAAAGCTAATAAAATTACATGCTTTTAATATTTGCCACACTTTATCAATGATTCAAACAAAGAATTTGCATGAAGTTAAATTATGCCACACTTTATCAACAATTCAAACAAAGAATTTACCTGATGTTAAATTATGCCATTATTCAAGTGATTGGTTACTTAGAATAATTAGCTTTGAGAGTTTGCATCGTGAACTGTCCCCAGGTTATACCAAACAAACACATGATAAATAATTACAAAATGCATCCAGTGTTGCGAGCAATATGCGTCTCGGTGATGTAATTTTCAACGTTGCGGAAAAATGTCTCGGTGGTATGATGATAATGTGACGATAACTGCCGAAGGGGAAAAATTTAATCCCCCCGTACCCCAGTCCACGAGTACCACACTATCCATGACCCTTTTCCTAGAGGGGGACAACGTTAGTTAATTTAACTGCCCTAAATGAACTATTAGCAATCTTGTGTGAGGAGTTAAGAAGTGTTACAATGTAACACTGAAGTATAAGCATTCAGAGACCTTATTCATAATTTGATAAACAAAGGATGGGTCCTAACTAAGTGAATTTCATGAAATCACCTAGCAAGTGCTTCATCTAAACAAATTCCCGACTGTTAATTTGTGTCAACCAGTTAAGTCCTAACATGGACTGTGAATTTACAAACAACAAAACAAAATCTACACCACGTGTTGGCGTTGGTCGAAAATTCCCATATTTTCGCTTGGAAAAACCGCAAGAATTAGCTACGCGTGTTGGGGAAAACTGTGGCA